TATGCATATAGGCAGGTCATTTTAAAAAAAAAGCAACTCCTAAAACCGTATAGAAGCTGACTGCGCCCACGGACTCTGATCCGCTAGGGAAATAATAGAAGTATATCCTGTGTCTCGACACCTTGCGACATGTTGCAAGTGAGAAAGGGTTTGAAGAACATCAAAGTCAAAGCCAAATAATCATTTATTCCATAGGTAAAATATTTACACTTAAAAACGTCATTTTAAGCTACTGCTTGTTCACTACTCTGACCTCCCTGAGAAAAACGAACAAGAAACTAGGGATTGCTCTTTTCAAATAAACTTAATTGCTATGGAATACACTTTGAATCATAATCGTGTGGAATCTAGACTCTTGTTGTCTTTCCATACTTCTTTATCTAACACATACTCTTCGATTTTGTAATATGACTTTTCAATTAAAATACTTTTAATGTAAGTTTTAAACTTATGAAATGATAATCTTAATATATTCTCCGGAATCTTATTGTAAAAACGCGTATACAGTTCCCCATAAAAGAATCGTTTACCTTAGTTAAACGAAACATTACTATGTCACCAAATTATTTAGTAATAATTTCCTGAATGATTAATTGCCCGTCTATAACTGAACATAACATTCTCGATAAAATAATGATATATGTTATAATCATCACGCCGTCGAGTACGGTTTGTAGATACCGTAAGAGGGTGCTTCCATTTCGAAAAAATCTACAATCTTCAAACGAAAACGACCGAGAAAATATTTTATAGTACAACGAGTTGCTGCAACCATCTCTTTGTACTTAGAAGTGGCGCGAGCCTTTAATTGGCGAGAGTGATGAGGAAGATGAATTAGATTGCCTCTGTTACTTTTGTGGTTGTTATTTGGTTGTTCTACTCTGAGTCTGTAGTTTATACAGTAAGAAGCCTCTAAAATCAGGTCTTCAAGGCAGTGCATGTAGTGCGTTGGTAGCGGCAGCAGGCTACTCTTGGGTTTCTTGTCTCGTAGTTGAAATACACAAGAAGGTACAAATTTTCGTTATGACGTTCCACTTGAAACCACTCATATGAGTAATGTGAGTACACTATTGCCGAGTACACTATTACTCAGTATTTGCCGTTACATTGATATGACACTCAATTATCGGCATTCGCCAGCGTCATTGGCTGTGCGATGGCTAGCGAGCGACTTGATAATTAACGCATAACAACCGTTAACTGGCCGACAGAATCGGAACACTCGTTATGCAGAAATATTTTAATATAACATTGTATTAAATTATGCTCTTTACACTAGTGTAATTGTTGGTGCCAAGAAGACGAATTTATAGACCACAAATCACCACGCTATTCTTAAAGGCTATGAATATGAAATTATTTTTTCGGATTTAAATCTCGTATGCTTATTTTTTTTACAAGACTCATGATCTCGGCTAACTTTGACTGTGAGTTAAGAGCTGCAAAGGGTCCGAAAAACTGGTTTGCAATATAAAAATAACAATTGCAAAAATCTAAGAACTCGCTTGTATAAGCCTTGTAAAAGTTCTCGAACATCCAAACTAATATTGTAAATGCGAAAGTAAATCCGTCTGTTACGTTGAAATCTGATGAACTTTGGTATCAAAATTCAGCGATAAGAACCAGTGGATTGAACTAATCATCTTTAAATTCCGAGACCCCTCGTCTATACCTTCAATGTAGGGCACACATATCAAACAGAAAATCGATATTTAACACACTGCGAATATTTTCCCTTTAAGGCAACTTGAGACTTATTATGAAGGAATGAGGTGTTATATTAAAATTTCATTCAACTTTGAACGCAGGGAGGAGGGACGAAATATACTTTCCTGCTTCCCCTATTGAAATACCCCAACCGAACGTAGTGATGCCACACAATAAAAAATATCGATGTGCCGTCGCATAGGATAGCGTTGAATGTCATAAAGACGGAGAAGTCGTGACAGTGCGCTTGTGGCAGTCACCATGAATTACGATAGAAGTTAAGATATCGCAGCTATCCTACTATGATAATTGTATCAATCAATAATAGTAGCGAATACATGTCAAAATATGCAAAGAATAGAGGAGGGGCGGAAAAAAGAGCCAATAAAAATTTTTGTATCCGTTGTGGACTGATGTTTTATGTCATTGAATAATTTTAAATAAAGAAATCACTTGAGAGTCGGTGTTCTATATTTTCAATTTCTCATTGATGTTATATTTGTTTTCTTTCTGTCCGACATGCTGGTGTACACTAAATTTTAGTTATTACAAAAGACATCAACGCAATCATCCCCATCAGCTTCATTGAATGGCGATAAATTAAGTAACATCAATTTTAAGTAACTTTAAAAAATATATTAAATCTAGACGCATACGTTCAGGATTCATCGACAGCAATGTTAGATCACTTTTGAATTTCGGAATCTATATCTATATTTAGTAGCAGGCGCCATTGCCGTCCCTAACAGGTGTTCTGCTGGGGTGTCTACTGAACAGTACATGCTATATCGTACACTATTTTGTTAACAGCAAGGTCGAAAAATCATCGTGTCACATTATCGATTGTCATCTCTACTTAGTGGGTCAGTGTGACTATCGATTTTATACCGTGGTTTTAAAATCGATACTCGACTTTATTGTAAAGTTTCGTCTGTACACAACCGCTTGTTTGTATTAAGAATATATCTTTAGTTAGTATCTGTAGGACCATGTCTGTACTAGATTAAATATAAAAAAAGGAAGAAATACATTTTACTGTATCAAAAGCCCAATATACCAATAAAAACAAAAGCCAAATAGACCAATGTCTCAAGAGGGCTTCTAATGCTATACAAGAAAGTTAGACAAGAAACTATTTAGTCCTATTAGAACACCAGTTGTCGCGAAGAGCACTAAAGAACCATTTTTGTAACTAAGTAATTTGTTTTAAATTGACGAGCTGCAATTTATCAAAACTACACTAATTTCTAGTGGTAACAAACAAATCAACAAGATGGCACTTATTGCATTAATTTTTATGTATATTGCTGGATATTTTTTATTTTGTTTGTATTAGCGCCATCTACCGCTATTTTCGTTATCGCTAGTCTCAGTAATCTTCACGACGAAAATACAAAAAGTCGAAAATACAGAAAAGAATACCAAAGCACTCTAATTTACTATTTCTAAAATGACAAAAATCCGGGGTAGTAACCCGTTTGGCAAGTGGAGATAGTCTCGATCTCTGATGTTTCATAACAAAAAATATATATTGTAAATTTTGTATGTGTACAAATGTTACAATTTACAAAGAGCAACCTCTAAAGTTTCATTCTTCTCAGAGGAATCTATCTGCCTTACGAATGAGTGGTAGAGTTTAACCAATATGACGATTTCAAGTGTAATAATACTTACCTATGAAATAAAGATTATTTTAATTTGGATTTCATTTTGAAGCAGGTTTCATCACCACGTTTTCCTGAACTTTCAAAAATATACGTAACTTAGAAATTAATAAAGAAACACTTTTTCAATTTTCATGCTCTTAAAGTTCGTATTTATGCTGGGTGTAGGCTGCATAAAATAGGATTTTATGCTCTAGTACATAAAACAAAAAAACCCTCACATTAAATATGTCTAATTGTTGTAATTTTACATTAAATTTTAATTAAATAATCGTTTATTGTAATATTGGTGTTTAAGTTCCTCGCAATCGAAGTGAAAAGCAGAGTGTATAACTCGTTCATAAAACCCATTTTACCCTCGACTTAAGTATTCATATACTTGTCTCGGGTAAAATGACGCGTTTTTTGCACTTGTTGTACTATCTACTATTTTTCCCCACAGGCTACTACCGCTGTTCATAAGTATTCATTAATCTCATTTTATATCTTCTTCTTCACACGTTTAACTGTAACACTTGTTCCGTTTCGCTCAATTGAATATTCTTTTTTTTTGCACACATCGCTTCATTAACTTTGATTTTTTTGTAACCGACGCCAGAGATGTGCGCCTGATTTTGTATTTATACGTCTACCAGCGATTGTTTCCGACTGCATTCGGATCTTAATTTCTTATCATAAATAAAAGTATGTTATTACGTTTATAGACGTGGCAGATAATTTTTGAATCAACCGACTTTTTCCTAAATAGATGCATTGTTACTAATGGTATTTTTTCTTATTAAAATTAAGAAAATACTTTGTTCTGTAAAATATTTACTAAGTTATTCATATGTACCTTGTTTTAGTACTATTGTGGAAGGAGAAATAATCTCACAAAATCCGTGTTTAAGTTCAGGCAGAGGGTTAGATACAATAAGTTTTATGAGCTTTAATACATATGTCGTTTTACTTCGCCTTTTGAACAAATGATAGGTATTATACATTAATCTATAAACGTGTCCGAAAAAACCGAAAACTTCAGATCAGCGTCAGATGTGCTGCTGCATTGCCACCCTTTGAGAGTCGTGTTGACACGTTTTTTGAAGAACCCCATATCGTAACGCAAAATAAATATCAGGAGAGAGACCATTCCACACCTTACAGGTTCGAGGAAGGAACGAACATGATGCCAGCGTGATCTTACAATGCCAGCATCAATGATGTGGGCTCTACTCCTTTGGCGGGAGGTGCGATCGTGTAACTGATTTTTTTTTATTAAGGCTTTGGCAAAACCATCAGCCTAAACATGAAGTTTAATTATGTTTCTGTAAATATGGCCGCCACAAAGAGGATAGGCAATTTGAGGCGGCGTGTTTGGATTGACTCGGTATTCCTTAAAACGGGCCGATAAGGGTATTTTAGTTCGAGATTCGTATTATTTCGCGTTTTAATCTTCGATTAAGGCACAATAGCACTATCCTATTCCACTTTAAACTAGATTTCACAAAATAATTGAAAGTCAAAATAAAAACGACGCTTTTCCCTCCAAAAGGTCCAGAGCGAATCCTCGTGTAACTGAGTCAATGTCTCTCCATAGACTAAGGGACTTATGTGTGTACGGTGAATAACATTTTGTTTTTTTTTCGACAGTGCTGAACGTGGCAGCGGGGAAAGCGCCTATGCAGGCGTCAACAGAGGACGGCGGAGTGCCGCAGCGTGCTCTCGACGGCAGCACATCGGCTGTCTTCAGCCCGGAAACGTGCACACTCACTAAACCCGAACGCGTGCCCTGGTGGTACGTCAACCTCCTTGAGCCGTACATGGTGCAGCTCGTCCGTCTCGACTTCGGAAAACCTTGTTGCGGTAAGCTGTTTTCACATTTGTTCTTATTAGGATTATTCCTAGTTATTCCTAACTGCTACCTATTGATATTACCCATTATTAATACCCATTAATGGCAGTAGTAGTGGTAGTTATACTAGACTACGTAATACTTTTAGTAGCAGTAGAGCTCCTCGTGAAAGAGTTCGTCAAGGGAATTACTGCCACCTTACCTATTCCTGCCGCCTAACATTAAAGCTGCTGGAATTACGGGCACGCGGGACTTTTCAAATTATGGCGCAGGGACAATACTCCTCTGATCTTTGCGACTTAAATATCTGAGGGGCACTGATACTGTTATGGACAGGCGTGTCGCTTAGCACCAGGCGTACGACTTGTTTGTCCCGTCAATTATTGATATCATAAAAAACTGCCAACTACTAAGCGGCATTTTTTTCTATTCAAGGAGTGACTTAGTATACGTATTATACCAGTACACTTATTCTCTGTATAGTACATTTAACACTCATAAAACAGTTACAGGGAAAAACAACTGTTTTCTTCGTTTTGTTCTTCTTTTGCGATGTTAACTTCAAGAGACGATTTTTTCGTCTCTCTCACACACTTCATTTTATTGTACTTTCATTTGAATTCTTTTCAATTCATTCGATCTTTCTTATTTGTTATCAATTAGGTAGAAGCATAGATATAGAAAAAAAGGGGAGGATATGGTATGGGGGCGTGAGTCGTCTCGTTATGATCAAAATGATCATACAAAATTTATGATCATAACAAAATTTTAAAACCAGTGAGATAACATTCCACCGGCTATTTGCATTTTTAGTTACTATTTCTATTATTATTCAATGTTTTCTTTTTGTCTCCATAGAAATTTCTTGGCTCAAATATAGTGATGTTCATTTACGATGACTGATGTTTATCGACAATAAATTTTTACTGAAATGTTTGAATTTCTTACTATGATTTTTGTAATTAAAGTCCCTAAAATATCGAAGCGAAAAGCTTTCACCTTAAATTGATTTCTTTTATTTTGTTATTATTATTATTATTGTTACTAAACATTTTATTTCGAGTAACTTTAACCCAACTCATATTTCGGACAATCGTTTCAATTTCATGTCAATTTGTATGTTGCTCTTGCTTAGAGAAAAATGTATGTGTATTATTGTTTTAGATATTTAAGATATTTAAATTCCATTATAACTACTCGTACATTAAACGTAGAGTACTTTTTATTTTTAAGTTTTTCCAATGAGTTTAAAATAAAAGGAGGTTGGATTTAAGCTGCAGGAAAATCGAAAGATTGGTTTTCTTATTACTATTTCTGACTTTGTTTCAATTTCCATAGCAAATGCATTTAAAAAATAAATAAAATAAAATCGGCTTTATTTTACATGTGCATGCAAAATAAATTAGAAACAATTATAGAAAATTACATAAATCCTTCATAAAAAACAACATAATTTAATTTATTAAATTCGTTGATGATTCGAGTGTACTCTTCACAGTGACAGCTTCACCAAGCCGTGGTAACGTGTCATGGAAAATAGACACTGGCGACAGTCGCCACATTTTTTATATTATTCTTATAAAACTGACACTAGTCCAAGCCTAGTGGCCGCCATTAAGAAAATAGTAATAATTAATATTAATACACTAATTTAATAATACACCAGCACCAGTGTAGATATAGTATGAAAAATGGAATATTTTTTTAATATTAAAAACAGCCACATGGTTTCCAATTATCGATTAGGTAGGACCACATCCCTCGTTGAGTAGCGTCAGTTTAAGGTTAATAAGGTTAACAATTCACGGAGCGGTTTCCATCCGCGCCCGCCGGGGCTGCTACACAGCGGTTTTATTTCAATACTCACGACCCTGCAAGTTTGTGCGGGCACGTAGCCGCCGCGGTTGCGGGGACGAAACCGTTGCGATTGCGGAACGGACCGCGAAGTTAGTGGGAGTTAATTGCAAGTCGCGCAGTTAATAGAGAACTCAACTCGCGTGCGCCTGCTCCACATTGCGCCTGAACCGACCGCCAAAGTGTGCGGGCGACGACGGCTACCAAGCGCGCAGGTCATCGCGTCCTGAGCGGTTCTACTAGTACCCCGCCGCCGCAACCTCGAGCAACCGTCACCACTACAAGCGTAAAACGCGCCGTGAAATGTGCTACTAATTTTACATACTTAACTGTTATATTCTACAGATGCCGCGGTCTCGCGGCAGACGCGGGTAAAATCCGCTCCGCGAGTTCTTAGTGTAACGAAAAATGAGTTTCAGCGCCATCTAACGTGTAATAGTTGGCTATTATATACTAGTAGCATTTTTACTAAAACGCCACCTGATGGTGAATGGCTGAACCAGGATGAAAAAAATACTGAAATATTGTAATATGTTAAATTTTAAAATTGTGTTACGTCGTTTTCAGGTTTGAAGCCATACCCAATCAAAATCTTTAAGTTATGGTAGTAGATAATAGAGCGTAAAGTTTGAATTGCACACAATCTAAAAAGTGGCGACATCGGTACCCGATCTTACATAGCGTCATTACATATCTCCCTTTTTTTCTATATCTATGGGTAGAAGACAGTCGTCTTCCACTAGCGATTAAATGTACTCGTAAAATTATGCATTGGGTAGGTGCGGTTGATCTAGTTAATTGGCGTTTCCAAAAGCAAAACTATTCGACGAATTTAATTTTGTAACAGGAATGTAGTAAAACCAATATGAACCCTGTAGATAGGTATAACTATTACCAAGAACAGTCGAGCAGCAAAAATAAGTAACTTATTCGGAAGTCAATTAAAATTACAAAGTCGATTTTGGAACAGGCACAAAGAGGGAACGTTTATCAAACAAACATAATCATCATCACATCGTCTTACACTACGTTTGTCGAGCCGTGGTCTCCACTCTAGGACTCGCTCCCCCATCGGTCAGTCGTCAATTCGTCGTCAGATATGTATGACCAGACCTCTACCATTTCAAAGTCAACAACATAATAATAATAATAATAACAAGTGTAGGATATCTACAATTCCCGAATTATTGTACATTGTATACAAAACTGTATATAATTGTTTACTATACTTTATTTAATGTCGTGTAAATATAATTACGCAATATAAGTTTTAAATAAATAAAATTATGTCAATGGCAGAGTCGTACGGGTAAGTTTGACCTTTATTTGTGATACGGTGTAGAGTGTAGAGTTGCGCCGCCATCCAACCCACATGCTCGAACACCGCGTCGCGTCAGCATATTACTAACTAATAAAAGTTACAATAAACACTCGGTGTTCTACCAGCGGTTAAAGTAAATCATTACCGTCAATAATAACAGATAATATTATATTCTTTATTGCTTATCTTTATACTTATTAATTATTATTATACAAAAGGTGAGCATAAGTGTACGTATCTTAAAAGAGGTATGTTCCGACCAGCCTTAGACAGAGAGAATAAAGATCATAAGCGGCAACAAAGTAACAGATAAGCAAAAAAAAAAAATTTTTTTACTTTTATCTTATTTAATATTACGCCAGCCGTTTATATACATGGGTAGGTACCCTGTATGTACATATTATACGAGTATAAAAAAAAAACAATAAGATGATTACGAAGAGAGTTCAGCAAGAAAGTACGGTAAAGATTGGTAGCCAATCTTTTCTTGACGGAAGTATAGAAAATATATCTAAACTAGCTTTTATTTCAAAATTAAAATAGCCCGAATTATAAGCAAATAAAAGACAAAACTTCTTATTGCCACAAAAGTTCATGATATAAATACTATATAGCCATGGAAAAAGACATCACAACTATCATCATTTACAAGAAAACACATTTGTGTCTATTCACAGGTAAAATTACTTCACGAAGAAATTTTCAAAGGCGTTATTTCTTTAACTAAATAGATACATGTCAAATCCATAGTCCCTATTACAATACAAATAGAATTCAAAAGCGACCACCACATGCCTGTGGTAGCTGTAATTAAAAAACAATATTAACATTTACGACAGATAAAGTTTTCTCGGATTGGAAACAGCTCACAACGCGAATAGACAATGGAAAATGGAGTCCGATACAACGATGCCAGTTATTTTCCCCGCAAAACCATTCGACTCTGTCACAGGCAATTTCCCCGAGTCTCGCAATGAGTGAATTCCTCAACGACACTGCGCGGCTTAGTGACACTACTTTCCACCGATTTAATCTAACCAGAACCCTTCCAACCTGCATTATTATATTAAATTATGAGCGTTTGCGGACAGGCCCCAGTGACTCCAAATAGCTACCTGCGAGTGAAAGTATTCGCGAGACAAATGCCGATGCACCCGTAACGAAAGTTCTCTTGTGCTTCGAGGATTGTATTAACAAATGCTGTACGTAATATTATGACGGTTACATTTTGACATGAAAGAACAATATAACGTAGTACGCAACACGTTGATTATGTTGGGGCCTATAGAAATATCACAAAGAACAGTCGTGAAACTGCTCATATGAGCTCTAATAAAATTGTTATTAAATATATTATTCGTGTTCTTACATCTATCGCCACAATGAATGAATGAATTAGTAAAATGAGTTTTGAGAAATTGAAATGCTCTCCTTACCGACGCCCACGTGACGGAGATTAGTATGACTTGTAAACATTTTTCAAGAACATCAAAATATTTTTATCTCTTGCAGGAGCAAACAAGCCAGCAGTAATAGTAGTGCGCGTGGGCAACAACCGCCCCGATCTCGGCACTAACCCAATCTGCAACCGCTTTACCGGGTTCCTCGAGGAGGGGCAACCGTTATTCTTGCCCTGCAATCCTCCGATGCCCGGAGCCTTCGTTAGCGTCCACCTAGAAGCAACCACACCGAGCCAGTTATCTATTTGCGAAGCCTTCGTGTATACCGACCAAGCGCTGCCGATAGAAAGATGTCCGCAATTCAGAGACCAACCTCCGGGTAGTACGGCTACGTACAATGGAAAATGTTACGTGTTCTACGATCGTCAACCAACGTCGTTCAGAGAAGCCCTGGCGTTTTGCAGAGCAAGGGGTGGTACTCTCGTGTCGGAAAGCAACCCTGCTCTCCAAGGGTTCATAAGCTGGGAGCTGTGGCGGCGACATAGGTGAGCTACCTAATATTATGCTGGCGTTACGATCTAGTTATATAAACATTTTAAATATGTTATTATCTGACCACTACTTCCAATACCTTCATACAACTATTATATTATAAAAAAATATCATCCTAATCAGGTCCATACTTTACACGAAATTCATGTATAGATACACGGTTACACACGTGATGATAATAAAAGTTCATTGTTTTAATTTCTCAAAATGCACATAACATTTTAACACGCACAATTCTCCTGTACATGTCACTTCTTTCCAGTAAGTACCTACCTATGCAGTTAACAATGGTACAAAACTTACATAAGAGACTTCACTTAAACATTTATATCGTTTATAGTGTTTGAAACGGTTGCAATTTTCATCAATGTAATGATGATCCAAATGACTGTGACGTGTAGTTTGTCTTCGAACAATTTTCTACGAACGATTATCGGTCGAAAGCGATGGAATGGCTGACAATGCGCTGATGTGAATTTAATGTTTTTTAAACTCACCCCACACACGTTACTTTACGTCGGCATTTTCGCAGCAGTTTTAAAAGAATTCACATTTAACAGAAAGCGAATGCTCTGCATCCATTAGATCGCCGAATTCAGTATCGTAAAACGTGCTTAGCGGGCACAATGCTGCAACTAAATACTCAAAAGTCGCGAAAACGTGATCTAGCATTGAATCAAATCACCAATAGCCAACGTTATAGTATCGTGTGTGTGTGTGTGTGTGTGGAAGCTCTATTGCGGAAGTACTATGTATTGCATTTGCGGAAAATTCTATAGATTTTACGTAACGTCGCGAGGATGACTTGTGGCATCTTTCCGGCAATCTGTGCGGTATTGAATCGCAGGCAAATCTATCATAACGATGTAGGAAGTAATCAAAGCAGACAAATCGAGTGTTAACCTAGATTTTTGATAGCTAGTAGCTTACGCAAGTATTTCTAAGGTTGTACATCTTTACGCGCGTACGTCTTGCCCAATATAATGCTAAATTGGCTCGTAGCTTATAAATTAACATGTCAATTACTTATTGTTATGTTGTTCCATATACATAACAATACCTATAAATTTATTTCAAACTCTACATATGACCAGATACAGACAGTTCTATATACCTTTTTCTTACATGTGATTTGGTATCATCGAGTATAAAACCAGAAATAGAGACGAAATAAGCGCCATCCATCCCTGGCATCTCATCAGGCAAATGGGCCTTATATCACTTTTAAATATCAACTCTCTTTTGCACTGAAATTACAAATTAGAAAGCTGAAATATTTTCCAAAAAATATTCTGTATTATTGTAATAAATATCCTAATATCTGTAACTATGGGGGCTGTTCCTAATGGTGGTGTGGGAAAAACAGGAAAAATCTAATTACAAAGCAAACGAAATCACATTTCATAGGTAATTAAATATTAAACTTGTATTTTTTTAATTATCGTCCATTATAGCAAAGCTCAAGTTAAACTGGTCGATTTGAAGTGAAACAATTAACGACACCCTTCAACTGTTTCGAATTCGGGCTGGCCAATAGGAGCGCAGTTGTCACCGTAATGACTAATGACATAGCAGAATAGTTTTCAATTTGTTTGAATGACATTTCGTCTCTATTTTTCTGGTTATGTACTCGATGTTTGGTATGCTTGTCTGCAAAGATTTTTTAAAGAGATTTCAGACCTACCAATGGCGAAGAGTAGATAGCTGGATCGGAGAAGATGTCAACAGAAAATCGGTTGTAAAGCAATATAATATAATGAATTAACGTCGATACTACGCAATGATGAATAAAATTAAAAAAAAAATTTTTAAATATGAGTGTGTATTAGAAAAAAAAAAGAAAAAGAAAGAAAAGAATGAAAAATCAAAAAATAAAAATCTTTATTGAATTATATCGAACATATAGTTCAATACATTATTTCTTAACATAGTACACTTTAAACACAGTTTTGTAGTGAGATCAAACACATTATAGTTAACTTTGAGCACATGACTGGGACAGTTGTAACGGCGCGCGCTCATAGTGTCGAAGCCGCGTTGATCGCGTAGCGGACATGTGATTGGAAATCAAAAACCGCATCATCATACGTGTAGTACAGTTTCGTAGATTGGCTTTCAGATGTCGTATACACCTAGATGGCTCAGGGATATGAGCAATCCTTATATATAATGGTAAGTTCCGAGTTGATTTCTTATAGAGTCAATAGTAACATATGCAGTCAATATAGAAAACATTTTTTCAAAATATATCATTTCATAGATCATTTCGTTACAACGACAAATCATACAGTGATTTTATATCGTAATTGGTTTATTTTTAACCGACTTAAAAAAAGGACAAGGTTCTGAATTTGAATGTATTTTTTATTTCGATGATTCTTTTTTGTTGGAAATGGTCTCGGTAGTGGGTCCATTGAAGTTCAAAGAAAATATTCTACTCCTAAAAGTGGCAAGTTAGGGAACTAGCCCGGTTTATTTAATTTCAATAAAACTTGGCATTTCGATGTAATTCCAATAAAAATAAAATGCCTAGAGTTGGTCAGATGATAGAAATGTAATAATAATAATAATAACGTACACACTCAACATAGCCCCGCACTAGGGAAACCCTGTGTCGCGGGTGCCATGGACACACACATAGACAACTCACGAGATAAATAAATGTAGGCCATACAAATATTTCTCCCGGCCCGGGAATCGAACCTGGGACCTCTGCGTGGCAGTCATGGTTGTGGCTCAACCACGGAGGCAGATAATGCAATGCAATGTCAGATTAATGAATTGCTACCTTGTGTTTGGGCTCATATGATTCGTTTTGGCGAGGTCTTCCATATTATGCGTTCCGGTTACCGTTGACTAGACCGCCGAATACACCGAAAGCGAATAAACTTAAGAGCTTGGTTTTATTTTTATAAAAAAGTTATGATTACTTTGGACACATTTTACAATACGATTACATACATGGTAATATTTGCGCCAAGACGTTTTACCCCACGCCGGCCCCAGCTTACAGGTCATATGCGTGTCACGTTCTCCCGCAAATTGTTGATTATCTCGGTCTACTTGTTACCCCCTCAACCGAGAAATAATGTAATTACTTCTACCCTTAGTACAACTAGTTGCAACGTCTTGTCGTCGTTGCACAGAGCAATGACGAGAAGACGTTATAATATCGTACTAACTCGATTTTGCACGCATGAGTAAACGCCCAAGCCATTTAGAGCGATTGCTGTTTCTGGTGGTAAGCACATTTCGTCGGGGATAGCGCAATAACGCGCAACTAGTTTTGGATTATATGTAAGTTTCCATTTCAGTAAATTAGTGGCCAAATCAAATACACGTAACTGTCGTGCCAACGTGGAATCTATTGTTATCAGTCCGTAAACAACATAATTCAATGCTTACTATGTAAAATTGAAAGTGACGTTCAATCATTCTCTTGTAAACTTTGGTTTAGTGCAGATACGCGCCTTTTACCAATGCTACATACGCGTATTTGCACTATCCCCGATGATTTTACGTCTTTACCACGTAGTATAAAAGTAAACAGTTCCTCTATAAGTTGACCTTAATACGAAAAGAAAATGATGCTTCACTGGCCATTGTCAAAGAAGAAATATTTTTTTTACTGTCACTATACTTCTCCGAAACACACTTTTCGCAAAAAAAAAGCAATTTTTTTGTGATTATATACATTGCAATGCGGTTTACTTTTCTGCTGTGTGAACGTTTTTTTATATAATTAATATATATTTTGAGATTTTGCTGCGCATGGTATTTAGCAGTTTATTAGTAATGAACATGGTGGTACCAAAAAGGACTTTTAATGTTCAACAGTTTTTATAAATATCAATGAAAATTAAATTGACTGAGTGTTTGAACCATGTAAAAACGTTCTCACTTAGCATTTACAATTTGGTAATCTATGATAATTACCTATCAAAATTACGCAATAAATATTTGTTATTATATATATAAGTATTAAAATATCCAGCAACGGAATCTATGGAAGCTTTTTTAATCAAGTCTTTTATTAAGTTGAAATGTACAGTGGGTACTGCTTTATCGTTTATTGTATCAGGACTGAATCTCCTTATATTAATAGACCCTACACACCTTATACAATTTTACGCTGACTGGTAAATTTCTGTCGCAAATTTTGAGTTTCATCAATTCCTGGTTTGCTTGTGTTTGCTTAATTATGGGGTTTGTAAACGTGTTACAAGACGTTATTGGCAACCACGACGAATTCATTGTACACTGTAATAAAACTCATAGCGACCTTTCTTTAACAGGAGCGACAGTAGCAGTCAGTACTGGATGGGCGCAGTGCGGGATCCCCAGGATCCCTTAAACTGGAAGTGGGTGGAGGGCGGTGATGTAATCGTGTCCTTCTGGAACGCCCCAGGCGGCTCCGAGGAGTGCGTCCGCTTCGACGGAAGCAAAGGCTGGCTTTGGGCCGTTACCGACTGTAAAACTAGGCTCAATTACATCTGCCAACATAGTAAGTGACACTTTTTTCGAGCGATTTTCTGCTTTGCGACTCCTAGTTGCCACGTGTGTCAACTGCGAATGATACTTGTAATTGCAACGCGAACGCGATTCTCGTAACGGTGCTCAAATCAATTTTCGTAACTGGGTTGTTTTAGTGTGTCACTTCTGTGTAAAAGTTTATGCTTTTTGTTATTGTGAGAAAGCTGGCGGTGTTTTCCATTGTTTCATCCATAACTTTATGACCTTAACCAAGTTGTTGTACTGGACTCAGTTCATTATCGTTAATCGCCTGCCATATTTTCCAAAATAAGCGCTCTATTTCCTGTCCAAATTTAAAGAATGATCTCTTTATTACGTTCGCTCTAAGCCCACTCTTCCTCAACAGAACCCAAAGCGTGCGGGCGACCTGAGCAGCCTCCAAACTCTACAATGGTGGCTGAGAGTTTCGAGGTGGGAGCCTCTGTGGAGTACTCGTGTGACGAAGGTCATTTACTGGTCGGGCCCACAGTGAGGACCTGTCTCGACACGGGTTTCTACGATGAATTCCCGCCCGTTTGTAAACGTAAGTAGGCCTTTATCACCTCCATGGAGTTGCCTACTCTTATGCCTCAGCACTATGTGTTTAATTGCGCCCCAGCTTTGTAAATAGTTGAGCCAAGGCTTTATGTATGATTTTTTATTTCTTTCTAGGCATAGTATGTGGTTACCCAGCAGACGTCCTCCACGGACGCTACAAGCTGATCAACGGATCGGTATCATACCTATCGCACGTACAGTACTCCTGTGACGACGGATACGAAATGGTAGGCCGAGCTAGACTCGTCTGCGACATCGATGAGCGGTGGAATGGCCCTCCGCCGAGATGTGATGGTGAGCTAATACGCCCTAAAAACTTAAAATAAGCACCTTATATTAAAAAAAGAACTATATTCATACACTCGATTTATTATCGTTGTCCAGTTTTATTAAACACTTAGTACTACCACTATTTAGTCGTTTATAAAAAATATAGAGAAATGTAGTGGAACAATACTCCAATTGTCACTGTGTTTTTCTTCACTGTAGAGGTACAAGTACAAGAGGAATAAGGCAAATTGTATCATCGACAAAGTTTCGCACCTAAAGTTACACACACAAAGGAACTTCATTTAGCACGTAATACACATACCTATCTTAACTAACGAAGCTCGCGCGAAACCGAAAGTACTTGTGTCGTATTACGAAGGTCTTCTTTATTTTACTATAGTAGTGTGTATTACCGCTAGAAAGCCAGAGCTCACGTGAACAGCTCATTGTGAGGTGTTCTCAGCTGATAGGAGATCTAATTACAGACGCCCGTTATTGTAGAAACAACACTAGGTGCCGGCAATCGCGATACAACGAATGCTCTTAAGATAGGTACCTAGATAAGTAATTATTTGTAAACATAAGTAGCAATAACTGGTCAACGAAATAACAAAACTAAACGTCTACAAGAATTTTGGGGATTTGGGCTGAATTTAGGTAGAAGCTACGAATGTCCTTTACAAAGAAGTACGAGAGGCCCAAATGGAAACCAACCGTTATAGATGCGCAACAGTCGCCCAAGATCTATACATACGAGTACTATTAGTACATATACAAATAATTTACAAATAAATTTTTAAATTAGCGCATTGTTGTATTCGATACTTTTGAAAGACTTAAATAGTTACTTACCTTCTCTTCAAAGGACAGGGTGCATTGGTGCATAAAACAGAATCCTGCGTTCTTCTCAAATGCTAACTCTATTGGTTGTTGCAGTGGTGCAGTGCGAACCGCCGGCGCAGATCCCGAACGGACGTGTGGCGCTTTCGCTCAACGCATCGGTATTCGGTGCCGAGGCGGAGTACGCGTGCGCACGCGGCTACATCTTGCACGGTGCGCCTCGCATCGCCTGCCTGGCCAACGGTCTTTGGGACAATCCAGCTCCGCATTGCTCGCGTAAGCATACGACTATACTTAGGTTTTAACTTCTTTACAGTCTAAAGCACTCATCGGCCTTTTCATCCGAAACACTAGGATTCCACAGCAAGGCCCCTTAGTGGGACTCGACTCGTTCAGTTCTCTGAACAAGTTTGTATCCGGGTTTCGTTTCTCAATCTTCACAACATAGGTATTGATACGGGAAAGTGTTATTCTTAGTTGGTTTATTTTGCATTTGCAGCAGAAGAAAGGTCAACAACGTCAACTACGGCAACACCTCCGCTTACCACATTCCCTCCAACCACCCTGCCCCCCACCACATCTCGCTTCATACCCACTCGTCTACGCTCATCTCCGCGCCCGATCTCCTCACCCACACCTTTCGTGGCCCCAGATCGTCCTCGCCCGCGACCAAAGACTACTACCGAGCGGCCAACGACTAGAAGTTACGAACGTCCGACAACGAAGACGTACGAGAGGCCCGAACGGAAATCAACCGTTAGTGACGCGCAAGAGTCGCCTACGAGCCATGTACCACATATCATAGTAGCCAACCATCCCAGAGAGACCCAGGTATGGGACTATTTTGCTCAATAATTAATCTACTAAGTTTTAGCTTTTTTTATGTAGTATAGAAGAGCGCTTGGAAACAATTGTACCTAGTAAATGCATATTCACTCTAAATTGAAAAACCCTGTAAATCTACTATGTGTTCTAATCACTTACACAAAGATAATAACAGCAAAGCACTTTGTATAAATGAATACTAAGTCAATGACACAAGGACGGAATGTTCCGGGCTTTCTAATAGACCGAAAGTGGAACGATGTGCGCAGGAATTTTAAAATTTAGTTCCACCCCTCTCCGAAACATTTTCGATAGAAAACCGACAAGTAGGTAATTTTTCTGATTTTAGTGACTTAAGCTTTGACTCCATACGACAGTCGTTGCAACCGCTCCACCAAGTCCAAAACAGCTAACTGGTATCGGTTGGAGCCATCCCAGATGTAGCAGCAGTAGTCCTTTCACGTCATTAAACTTATTGTAGCTTAGTAGTTACGTCATGAAATGAGTTAGGTTAGGTTATAGCGAATCGCATCAGTCGCTACAAATCTCTTTTGTGTATATTTTATTTTAAGTTTTAGTTATATATTTAAATTCTAAATTTAAATGTCATTGTTTTTGGCGCCTTTTCTTTATTATTGATATATGTATATATATACCAAATTGTTAACGCCGATAAATAAGACTCCATTATTAGTGCATATCAGAAGGTTTTTCTTAAAAATCTTTATAACAATAAAAATAAAAATATGACCTTTTTCTTGGAACAAAATAAAATCAATAATAATAAACGTCAAGCCATCGTAGCCAGCAGCCACAGCAACCAAGGAGCGCTAAAATACTGCCCCTCCTCGAGGAGGTAGAGCCTCGAGAATAAAAAAGGTTGCTTCAGATTTGGGTAAGGCACATAGCCTCCGGACGGCTCGTCGTATGGTGCCTCGTCCTGTAAAGATGTCCGCCACTCTTGTAATATTATCCACTCCTGGATAGAGCTTCTGTGTACGTCCCAGACGCCACTTCATTGGCGGAACATTCGTTTCCTTAATCACGACGATATCATTCTAAGACCCTCTTTATATATATATACCCATTAATACAGTCCGCTACAGTGTCTAAGAGGCTGTTTAGTTTTAATCCGTACATTTTCATACGCTGTGGTACATACCACGGACAGTAGTGATGAAAGGTAACTTCTTCCTGTCGTATCGATGGTATAGAATTGCAGCCCAGAACTATGGGACTTTTTTGCCATCGTGATGAAAATATTTGCTAATCCGTGTAAGGTTCTCGCTGATTGTTGCCCAGGTTGCGCCAGACGTACAGTGCTTCTATTTTCTCAATGTCCCTCGGCAATCATCGGATTTCCGAATGCACACGAATATTAATTTCCGTGCCCATTACTTATTAAATTTAAAATCTATAATAATTTGAATTTTGGTCAACGTATTTTATTGTTGTTTTGTTTTGATTTTCGTGTGAAATGTAGAGATGTAAAATTATTGCCTTATTTTTAATAACATTTACTATATGTAAATAAGCAAGTAGGGTCAGGTGTTTAACAATATTTCACCCAAATTTTCAAGAGCTGTAACTCTGGATCTATGGACCTACATTTTACACTTTTTACTTAGAATTACAGGTAATTTTACTGGGTATGATAAAGTATTACTTCATTTTTGTCCAAATACAGTCAATCCTTATAAAATCATGGTTTTTTTAATAAAGAGAAATGGTTTGGTTTTTTTGGTAAAAAATAAAAAACATCACCGCCCCCGGGCATCTGTGCCGCTAGCTCGCTGTAGACTAGGAAGAGAGAGGTGCATATAGTAGAAGCTCATCTGATGCGATTTGCACCAAATTCCAATGTCGCGTTTATGGGTTATTGGCGCGGTTCATAGTGTACACTTGGTTCACTGTCGACCACCCTACCCTACACAAAAATATAGAAGTAAATAAAGTGTACTTCTTTTATATAACTAACAATGAATATTTAATTAACAATTATGTATTTTTCTTTCGTGCCTTTTTAGTTGACTTTTTTATCATATTCTTTTAAAATATTCTTTACTGTTCCGATTGAAATACCACAAGCTACAAAAATACGTTTTTAACTTTTTTAAATAACTGTGTGTTTTTTAAATGATTGTGAATATACGTGTTACGGGGAAACTCCTTCCGTGCAACCTTACGTTTATTTATGTGATTTTAATTGATAAATGTAATGCTTTTACACAGATAATCGGCAGTGGCAACAATATCCGTGCGGAGCAGACGCCGCGGGTCAACGTGCCACAGCCCGTGGACGGCAGCCGCGGGTCGGGAAGCTCAGCAGGAACTACGGGGGCGCGTCTCAATATCGGGGCTGTCGTTGCGCTGGGCGCCTTCGGGGCGCTCGTGTTCCTCGTCGCCATCATCACCACCATCGTCATTCTGGTCAGGAGGTGAGTCGTCATATTACAAGATAATTCGTTTTGTTAACGTGGGGACCCGATGTTGTGAACGCGACTCGCTTTTATACCCGCGCCTACTTGTAAGCAACATGAACGGAATGTTACCATTTTGATCATCGTTCGGGTTTCAGCGCAATGCATTTAAATGCTTATTAGGTTGTACGTTTTCTTGATGACATGTGAAATAGGGTACACTTAAAATAGAATAACAAATAATTATACATAAAACATTAGTTCAATCTACTTATAAATATTTGTATAAATCACTTAATATATAAGGCTCTTGAAAGCCGACAGGTATAAACGTAGAGGACTTCTGAATTAAGCCTACTTTCTACATCTGTTCACGCTCTGTCAGCCCTATGAGGTATGGTAGTACCTTAAAATATAAATGCCTTAGTATTTATTACAGGAACTGTACTTCTTTTTGTTTCAACACTAATTAACTATGTAGGAACAAAAATTCTTAACTTTCTCATTTTCCTTTCCTTAAATGGACCTCGTCTACACGTAGACGTAGCATATTGAAGCGTTTTAATAGGCGATTAAGATTAAACACTTAAGAGATTGATACGTCTCACAGCTGGGCGTATACATGGGTTGCTAATAGAATGGAACTTAAGAGATATGTGAGTAAGGCCCTAGGTTCAATTCCCAGGTTTCCTCTCTCCTCTGGTACTCACGTCGGCAGGGAATTCCCGAGACCAGGTAACTGGTGTGATTGTGTGATACATCTAAAAGTGCGTCAGTGCAATGAACCTTGTTCCTATAGCGGTGGGCAGAAGCGTGCCCCGCCGGCGGTGCGCGAGCTCCCCTCGCGGTGGTACACGTTATTGGCGCTGCCATTCCCCGACCAGCAGGTGGGGCGGCGGGAAATAGCGCGTGCGCATCGCCACGCGCATCGCGCCGGACACTTCTCCAACCCGTTATGAGTGCGTTGGCGTTTATATTTTGAGGTACCAACCGCCTGCACACGACACCGCGTCGACATGGTGGCTGATGTAAGGTCTTCTCTCAGTGTGCTGCTACAAAACGTCAAAAAGACGTTTTTGATGCAGATAGGCAATCACATGTTACGAATATTCGACTACTAGGTATCTAAACAAGTTTAATTTAGCCATTATTTTGTAGTGTCTTATCACAGTTATGCCTAATATCTATAGAAGTGAAGTAGCCTATTTATTATGTAATCCTTGCTGTGACGAACGGCTTATTGAAAGCTTTCTTTTTAGAACGACGTTAACGGATAAATCTCTAGTATTTACGGCAAAATTAAAATGAAGTTTCAGCAGGGATGCTAATTAAATGCAATATCGTGTGTTTCAAGCAATTGGTATTTATTATATTGCGATAGAATTATGCCTTCTCTTGTATCGCTCCGCATAGCAGCCACTATGTCATCGCGCGCACCCACACCGGGCAGGGATAGCACCTAAATCTGCTATTGGGACACATTGGCAGAACGGAACGCACTAGCATTACACGACGTAAGCACATCGTATACAGCGTCACACCTTTTTGATCATTAGAAGGCGATGCACTATATCCACTGCATCGTTTAATGTATTCACAGGCTGTAAATTTTTCTTTCTTCGCTTTGTTATCGTTAACAACTTGTCACTTTGGAATAGAAACTATTTCTCGGATCTAAACGGCGTAATTTTTTTTCAAGCAAATCCTTAAAAAAACAAATAAGTATAGTATATACGATGTGGTTTGGAACAAACAACTTTGGTTTGTTTGTTAGATTTGAAAAATAGTTTCAATTCCAATGTGTAATAATGGCGATAACCTAAGAACTCGATATGAACTAGTCACTTCTTGATTGATAAAAGAGAAATTAATTTAAATTTTTCATTATCCAATTTTTAATTTATATTTCTTTCATTAGGATCAAAACTACAAAAATAAAGTACATTTAAAGAGCACATTAGCACAATTTCGGGTCACCAAATGTAATAACCGCGAGATTAAGCTTAATTTCAAACAATCACGCAAAATATTTGGCTTATGTAGAAAAAATCAACTTGCTTTATTATTTATATACTTATTTCTCTTCTCCCGTCAAAGGCTTTGAATAGAACGACTATTGCCATTGACCTATTTTATATCTTTTGTTCCGCGTACTGTATAATCAAGATGTAAAATTTTGTAATAAAGCTTCTACAGCTTCTACAGCGGCACTACCGCTAAGGCCATGTAACCACCTTGATAGAAAACGGACGCGTGCGCGTAAGTCACCATGAACTGATAGAATCAATAACCAAACAATGTATTCAATTTGCAGCAGGAAACACAACGACGGCAAGCGGTACCGTCACCACGTGTCAGCTGACTGCAACACGGTGGCATCAATCGACTCGTCGTCGTCGGAGTCACGCAGCGGGCTCAACCGGTACTACCGCCAAGCGTGGGAGGAGCTCCACGAGGCCAGTCAGCACGGCCACCGCCGCCACGACAGGGAGGCTCCCAAGGATGGCTCGGAGCTAGTAGTCTCCGACGTGTACCCGTCCGCGCACCCTGGCCGGGACAAGCGGCGACACCATCACCACCACCATCACCGCGAGCCGAGATATCCCCCCGTAGTACACGCGCCGAGGGCTCACCACAACCACAAACCTAGATATTGAAGGACAAAATTTATCCCTTTAAGTATAACAGCGTTCAAAAAACCAATTAAATATGTTTAAATAATATTTTCAACTTGGTACGTAAAATCAAGTGTTCCTTCTACGAATATTACTTGTTAATTTTTAACAGTTTATGTAATAACAAAAAACACTGCACTTCTGATTTGTACGGCACCTTCCATCAAATTTGGGACAACTATGGGCTAGCATGATAGGAAGCGACTAGCGCGACAGCGACATAAAGCGCGAGATGCTGCTTTTCTCGCATAGAGATCTCGCGCTTTATGTCGAGTCGCTCCTTATCGTGCTAGCCCTACTGCAGTGCTAAGACAACAAGGCGCGACTTACGCGAGAAGCGACATACAAATGCGAGAACAATATCCCACGCTTTTGTGTCGCTTATCGTGCAAAGCATGCGCTGTCGTGCTGGCGCTGCTGTCAACACTGTATTGATTTATAGTTCCTTCGAAAAAGTTCTTTTAATTGAAAATATTAAGTTTACTTACGTGCCTTTCGGTTATTAAAATCTTTAGACTTTCTTCCAATCCTTACCTCCTTTGTTAGCAAGCACGAAGGCATTTCTTGCATAATATTGATATGTATCTTCGTCTAGACTTTTCCGTCCTTAGATCTAGAAGAGAGGGGAATTAGATTTAGAAAAACCGACCAAGTGCAAGTTCAACTTGCGCAATTGGTGTTCCGAACTAACTGCAAAAACAACGTATTTTTTTGTTGTTGTCGAATTTGATACATACAGTTTCGTCCACATTCGCCTGTAAGCGACGCACAGGCACGGGGGTTATATTAGATGGTAATTTTATTGTTCCGATTGTTTGGTTCGGAATACTGTAAAAATGTATATTTGCTCAACGCCCACGGGGCTGGAGTCAAACAGGCACTGTACCAAATAACTGTGTAGGCTTCGTTTGTTATTTGTTAATTATATCTTTGTAAACAATTATTTACCTAGTTATGTGTTTATATTTAATCTTTCGATAAATTATAGCCATTTTAATTTTAAGAACAAACTTTGGCGATGTAACGATTCCAATGGCTTAGGTATTAGGTAGTTGTGATTTTTAGTTTCAAGTTTGATTTAAATTATTAATTGAACATCCCTCCTGTAGTACCTATTCAATAGATCCACACTTCCATAAAGGCTTAATCTGCATTTTATAATCTATCTCGGCTTTAAAACTATGATTACCTTGATCTTTTCTTAAGACACTGTTATCCGTATATATCGATTTCATGTTAGCTTAGATATAAGCAGTTACACAGTTATTGTACATAATATTGTAGATTAGTTAAGATAAGATTGAAGTTAATCATTGTTCACTGCTTGGGGTGTGTTTTCTTTTCCGCTCGTCTGAAATGCGCGACAAAAAAGACGACCTGCAAAAAAAATGCGCCCTTTTATTTTCCTTTGTCGACTTGTAACTCATTTACATTTGGTGGTTTCTAGAAAGTTTTACGCAAATAACTAGAATTGTAAAAAAATTATTACACGAGTAATTAACAAACAAATGCAAATGAGTTGGATATATAAAAATTCCATGTAAAAACTCTGTTAAATTCTTATTTATGGTACAAAGTAAAGGTTAAATGAAACAAACTTTATGTTCAGTAGTACAAGACCCAATATATGTTTTCGAAATCTGATTATGAACAATTGTATGAAAATGTGCCATCAACAGGCAACGTAGGAAATTTTAACAGTTATAATTTATTTATATTTTTAGTACTTACATAGATTTAATCCTTGAGAATGTAAGCTAGTTTTAGAGATATCGTTAAAAAATTATTTACCCAGTGTATTGCAAAAATCTGATGATGTAGTGAATTTTTATGCATGAATGGATTTATGTCAAATGCAAGAATATATTAGAATTAAATATTTTGTGATAATCATATTTATTTCATCTTAATTACCCGTTCAAATGAAATATTTTTAATTATTATATTTAAAAGTTCATATGAAAATACCACGGAACACGTAAGAAAATATCTGTTGTTTGCACTCTTGGGTCCACTAGTGGGTCCAGTAGCATTTTGATAAGTTCTCTTGTCCCCACTACATAAAATGATGGGTGAGAATCATTGACTTAAAATTATAAGAATATTAGGATTTGTGAATCCTTTGTCTCCACTCCTACAAGGCTAACACGACAGGGCGCGACTTGCACGAGAGCGACATAAAGCGCGAAATACTCTATGCAATAATTAATAGATTAAAGCTTAAGTCACACTGGCGCAGAGTCGAAGCGTCGCGGTGCGTCCTGTTTTTCAACTACACCGCCGGGATCGGCGTGGTCGGCGTCTGACGCCTCACTGCGCCCAAATAACGCGCGGCGACACGCGAAACCACTAGACTGCTACCATATTACGACTCGATTCCATATTTGCGTAACACAAATTTGTACCTTAATAGTGGGAAAATAGAGATGAATATGCTATAGGCGAAAAACATGACACGTCGCGACGCTTTGACTCTGTGCCAGTGTGAATTGAGCCTTATCTTAATTGTCGCTCTCGCGCCAAGTCACGCGCTATCGCTAGAAAATATTAGTCAAAACAGCAACGATGGAAATTTTAAGCGTTTACCCGGTACCATCGACAATTGACTTGACTATATCACATAAAAGTAGATTTAGGCGGTCTTTTTTGAAAATCACGAACATGTTGTGTATTTTAATGTCGTGTCCGGCTCGTGATTCAATTAGGCAGTCTTCCTGGGTAATGCGTAAGGTAATTCACTTCACTTTTTATTTTTATGGCTCCATCAATATGAGAACTGATGATTTTGCCAATGTCACAGTTGAAAGAAAAAAAACGAAACAAAAAAAATTTTCGCTATTATAAGCTCTAATAGGACATTAACCGGTGTTGGTAAGTTGGACTACGGGAGTACTCAGTTGAGAATGTAAAACAAAACAGCAAAACAATATTTATAAATATATGTTATTTAAGTGGATAAATTTACATAGAGTAACAATATGGGGGGAGAACACTAAAGTTAAGAGGTTGTTTATGTTAATGGGGCGGGGGAATTTTGGAGAAAGTAAGTTATAAAGTGGAACAGCAATATTAGGACAATTGAAAAAAATTTAAATCTCATAATTTAAAAACTTGTTTAGGGTGAGGCCAAGGGCGACTCTGGAATAAGGACAGTATGTATGTACGTAAGCAAATTTTCAAGAAGTATGACGATAGTTATGTACTAGGGCCATGTAGTAATATCGAAAATAGTACGAATACTCGCACACAGATTTAAAATAAAACACTTTAATATAGGTACTTATTACTGTTTGTATTAGTTGCCAAAAATCTGCTACGCGTACAAAAGGAGGTACATTGCTTCGTGTAACTTTGCCTGGCTTAATCTCAACTTTCTAAACTCGCATCTACATGTATATACTGTAGGAAGCTTATTTTAACACAATAAGTGTTATATTAGTGAATAAATTGAAAAAGTACCTACATAATACACGTACAAGGAACAATATCAACACAGAAGTGTACATAATATAATGTTTGCATAATTTTATGTGCGACACATAAACAAAGACAAAAATAATAATATAAAAAACGGCAGGAAGCATTTAAAATTTCTGAAACTCATCAAATGCATAATCAAGCTGTTTACATTAGAATGATATGATGTGACTTAATGTTGACTTAATTGATTTAAAACATTCTTTATTTTCACAACAATTCATCGAATTGTCTCGCACATCACGATGACACGCCGATCGACCTCTACTATAGCCTTCATGTTAATTATTCATAAATAGTTTCATTTCACGAGTAATTATAATAACAAAATCAGGCAATTTATCACTCAATGTTACAAAAACACGCACACAAAACCAGCATGCTGATTTTGATTCAATCGGAATTAGGACCGATCGGGCAGTCTCATAATCAGATGGATTTCCGAGCGAGAAGATGAACCTGATTCCTACTATATCTTTCTAATTTGTGAGTTAAATCAACTATTGTATCGATTTGAAATATCAACAGTTTCCGATTAGCCAGTTGTGAATCGCAATTATGAGCCTTGACTCGGAAGAGACGGAGTTTCCGATCGGGAGGCAATCAAAATCAAGCTGCTGAAGCTGCAGTATACATACAAGTCAAGCTGTGTGTTCAGAACATTTGTGTGTGTGTTTTTTTTTTGACCGATCTTCATTACTGATCAAGTCGCAAGTGATAACCAATGGAAGCGACATCCTATAGACCTATTAATCCACTTGGGTCAAACAAGGAAAAACGATTTCTGGTGTACTCGGGCTTGTATATTATATTCTATTGGACCCGTTGCATCTTGCACTGTGTTTCTTCTTTAAAATGTTATACTTCTAACCGATGATTGCGCCAACGTCAAGTTAAAGGAAGACACGCGTTTATTGCTCCAAATTTGACCGGTGAATTTCCGCGATAGACTTCGCTGAGAGGAGAATTTACAACAATAGACACCACAAGCTTACCCAAACGGTTACAAAAACAAATTGTTACTTCATAAATTTACAGACACACAAAGCGGGAGTGGACTAAAATGGGGATCTTAGGGGGAAAGATATCGTATAGAAGCGCGTTGATAAGGTTGCAGTTAAAAAAACAGGTGAGTATATAGTGCCAGACCGCACCCTCACAAAGAGCGGTGTCGAACACGAATCCTAGCTAAGAACACTAACAAAAAAAAAGAAAGAAAGAAACTACAGTGCATTATGTTACGCTATGGCTAGGCGTAGACCAATGATCCCTAGAAGTAATATTTTTCGGAATCGACTTCCTAATGAAGGAACAAGGTTTAGATGGTAGCTCAGGTAGGATTTTGCCATAATTTTTGTCCACAGATAGGCCGGGAAATTGCCCACGAGTGTTCCGTTAGTACAAAGCATGATGGTTCTTTAGCAGTGGTCCGCACTCTCATTACCTTTTATGCCACTATGGCCAGAGATCGATACCAAGACCACTTCGATATTTTATGAGCGGCATATCTATTTGAGTTGTAGAAAAAAGTTGTCTTCAGCATGGCATTGAGCGTTTAACCAAGTTTTGTAAGCAACTACACGTAAGACATCGCTTCTAGCAGCACAGTGGCTCTTCGGAAAACATTTTTACAGATTTTTGTGTAGGGTGTATGTAAAGTTAGTTTCTTTGAGACTGAACATCGTATAATTTCCCATAACTGTCCTTTGTCGCTGTTCAGTAAAAATGTTTTACGGTAAGATTGATTTTGCGGAGATTGGGAGTGGGATGGGCTTGGGAAAAATGGGGGTGAAGTTACCCGTTAGCTGGGCTGAGTTGAGATGTATAGTTAGATTTAGTCGTACCTTATGTACTAAAAAGTACATAAGGTACGAACTGGACGGAATCTTCTTGCGGTTTCGATATAACTAATAGTTCCTCAGACATAACTAACTTGCTTGATGGATCTCTGACGACAGAATTCGCTGCACTACGAGTCTGTTGCAGCATGAGAGCCCGAGCAAAACGTGTGTGATGCCTCAGTATCAGGCACTAAACATTCGGAAGCTTGATTTCGAGAACAGCGTGAACATCATACTTACAAAAATAATTTATAAAATACATTAAACAGTGCACGTTATTACAAGATTAAATCATGCGATTTTTTATGAACTGTCAGGAATCATTCTAGAGAACAATTATAGTTAGCTCAGAACCAACAACATTAGTAATATTGACGGTGACTGTACTACCTGATCAGTAGGTCCAATGCCCACAATACTGCCCGTAGTCCTACTGGTAAACCCACGGGTAAAAACATTGTCCTTGGTACTACTAGTGGGACTACGCAGTAGGACCACGGGCAATGAATCCTGCGAACTCTTCTAATGTCCAATCCAGAGGAATTTGCCTTACTACCTCCATGCAATCTATCGCACCAATGTCTAGGCAATGACATTGCAGCTAGAACCTTATACTAGTATGTGGACAGAACAAGATTATTCAAAAGCTGTGACAGAGTAGATGCACATTTTGCTTCTGCGGATGATTTTGATTTCTTTTATGCCTGCTACTTTGTTGCCGTTATAAATAATTTGGGCCATTTCAAGAGCCCGCATACGGTTTTAGCCACTAGGTTCATCAGGATCATTACACGATTAAGGGACCTACATCATTTTCGGAGTATTTCACACCCGACCCATTTCCGAAACCCGGTCGAATTTATAAATATGTTGGACTGACACATTTGGGGGATTCTATTTCTTGCCGTGCAGTTCGCCCGCTTCCTTCGGGTCGCCAATAGAGCGTTTCACCTGACCTGGGTTCTATTGACGCAAGTTTGCCTGCAGCCCTGTCAGGGCGCTCAGCACCTCCACCTTCGTCAACACAAAAGACACTCGCCTTAATGCAACTTTTATACCACCACTAACAGAAATATTCTAATCTCAGTGAGAATTGGTAAGACCGCAAATAATATATCGCAAATCAAACCCGGACACGTGCGTTCCTCAGAGACGCAAACACTTCTTATCTGCGAATACAATTATTAAATTAAATTTATTTTAACCACAATAGTGACACTAAACAAACAGCTCGGCTCATCATTAATTCATTATATTTTTACAGGGAATAAAATTATCATGAGCTAAAAGCCTAGTCGTTTATTAAATAATTGAACATATGATGGTTTCCTACGACGAATAATTTTTTGCCGCCGATTATTGACAGGTTGCAAACTCGTTCGAAAATATGTAGGTAACACCATGGTAACATGTTCATTCGCGAATTGAATATGTCGTGAAAACAAAAAATACAATGCGTAGTAAGTAATCACTAAAACTATTGAACACAAATTTATTGCAAGAAAAGTCACAGGTAATAATTAATTATATTGTAATTATTGCTGTTGGTAATACAGGCACCGGGGCTTATTGCAAGTTTCAGAAGGCGATATGCCGTACAACCAACTGAACTAATAATACAAACTTTGTAGTTAGTTACCAATACACCTTACAGTGATGTAAAATAATAAGAAAGCAGAAAAGATTGCTTGTTCATCCACGTAGCCCCCCTTGTACGGAAACTTAATAAATATATATATATATATATATATATATATATATATATATAGGTATTAAAACATACATACCATAAAGATTTTTAAAACTATTTCAATTGTTCGAGTATTTTTATTGTTTTTAGTAAATTTGATAAATAATTATAGCCTGTATAGACTATTCAGGTGTTCGAATGATACAACTGATAAATGAAATTATAAAAATTGAGTGAGTCATTAAATGTTAACTAAGTGAGCCGTATGTACTTATGTAGTAAACTAAAAACATGGGTTATGTTAACAAAGTATTCAGAGATCGTGTCTGCCGTATTTGTCATATCTACATAGATCAAAAACGGCTAATTAAGGTCAATCGAAATAACAGCATCTGCAGGAAGTTTTCTTTTTTTAAATACCTATCTACACGTTTTTGATAATTGCTCTTTAGAGGGCACAGCGCTTAAAGATTTCTAGTATTTAAAATAAGAAAACTTTTTTCCTTAGACGCTTTTACCGCGGACTGACTACTTATGCCTATTTGTGTGTGGGCAAAAAGTAAGGATTCGGCACTAAAATTTTAGTTCCATACTTTAAATTGTGCCACCATCATGTTTTCAGACACTTGTGTCCAAGATTTGCATGAATTTGGTCAAGCGTTACCGATCTTATTTAAATTAGTACGTGTCATATTCAATCTCAACTCCAGGGCAATCCGGGGGACGAAAAGGCTTATTTTACATTTATCAATGTATATTTTACGCTTTTTCAATAGCAATAAGATGTAAGTTACGACGCTCTGAAACCAACATCGGAATATCGCAGCGCATTTCTCCCTGCGTCTCAGAGCATTGAAAATGATACCTTACTGCAATTGTGATAGCATAAAATATATATTGATAAATTTAATGTCCTCTGCCTTGACGTCCGCCAGTTTGCGCTGACTGTTATTAACCGTAAATATAAATATTTTTATGAAATTAATATACACAAATGATTATGCTGAAAAAAATCATTTTTCTGACTCCAATTTATTCTTTTCACGCAAATTAAGCATTGGCTTTGGACAAACTCATGCAAAATCTTTGTATAAAAACAAGAGCGTAGCTTACCATTTTAACATCAATTACACTTACTTAATCCTAAAAAGTTAGCGCTAAGCAAATCCGTTAGTCGTAGTGTACACAACATTTGGAATTTGTCCAATTAATACAATTCAGGAACATACCGTACTCTCGTACTGGGTGAATAAAAATTGAGGTGAGTTGGAATTGACCACATTTTGACAATTTGGAAAAATGAGCATGTGACCACCCGTATGTGTTCAAAAGCGTGTACTTGGTATGGATTAGACAAATCGCAAATGTTGCATGTCAGCCCACATCTACCTACATCAATATATACCACTCCGCATATTATATAAAAATATATGAAATATATTACTCACATTTCCTTAATCTAAGTGTAAATATATAATTTCAAAGCTGACTTGGCCATGTCTGAGGTACAGGGTCTACAATTATTGCTCAAGAACGCAATTAAAAACCTATACACGGTTAAATGTTATTAATGAGAGAACTGAATGCACTTACTAAAACGAAAAACTTTTGCTGTTGTGTTTACTGCTGTTGTCCTAAGAAACACCTGTCTGGTTTACCATTAGAACGACAAAATAATCATTCGACAGTTATTTATTGAGAGTATTTTTCCGTGGACGAATAAGCCTCGTACCTCAGACAAAGATAATTTCCGCACGATTTAGAATGTACTCAGTTTCATTTGGGTTTACTCACACATTCGTATTCATAAATCCAATAATAATGATATGTGGGCAAATCCATACGACCCTGCAAGCGCTGTTACGGTCGTTATACATTTCTCAAAAATTAAGCGTTAATATCACTTAAGACATCAAAAGAAAAGCATTGTAGCCACTGGTACAATATATAAAAAAATCTCACAACTGACACATACGTAAGCAGTCTAAACATGTTACCTTAACAAATATAATAGAAGTTCATTTAAAACAAAAAAAAAACATAAGGAGACAGCGTGCGGCTAAACATAATCTACTTTTGTAAAGATTACAATTAACATTTACACTTATTTTTTAACTATACAATATAAATATCTAAACGCATTTGGCATATCTAGCACACGTTTTAGACCCGCTGGGGCTTCTGCGTTTTGTGACAATTTTTGTCATTTGCACGTACCGCGGCAGCACGTTTACAGGATGAGTGTTTAAGAGAGCGCATTTGATGATCAAAGCTAACAGAAAATATCCAAACATACGTTAACAAATATTCGCATAAAAACAGATTTATTACACAAAATGGTAATTAAGCGAAACGTGGTTCAAGTTTCTAACCTGGTCAATACTCGCCATAAAATACCACAAACCACAAAAGGTATCATCGGTTTTTCTAAATAAGGACTTGTGCACGATTATGTTTTCATCTCATATTATGCACGGATTGAACAAATGAGATACAGTTTAGTCTGTCTCGCAGCACTAACACACTCTCCTAATCACGGCAATAATGTAAACATGCCCTAACACAAAGAAGAGGCTTCTTTTTTATTTATTTCAAGCCAGATTATGTTGATTCTCAAATATTTTTCAAGGCAAGAAATAAAGAGCCTCCACCCCACGCGTCGGTACCAGGCCTTCAAATAAATGAGTCGATTCTAAAGTTAAACAATAAAGCTTTCAATTACATAGTATGTTAAACGTGTTAGTTGTATCAATAACTTCCAATCGCAGTTAAGCGTCTTGATTAAGTATTATAACAATCACAGTAACACAATTGTGATGAGGTTCTATTGTCACATTATACCTTGCATCAGCATCAGTTGACACTTTATGTATTACGTCAAACAACTTCGATAATTGGAAGATAATTTTTAACTAAAATTACCACTTCTAGAATACTCCAAAAATGATAATATAATAAAATCACGATTATATTATTTGTCTAGTAACCTTAAAGTTAATAAACTAATACAAAATAATAATTAAACACATTTCACCGCTATTCGGAATATTTGATAAACTAAGATTTATCTATAGCTGCATCGAGTTACATTACCACATTTATATAATACTTTTCGGTACAGTTTAGTTACAAACCGCTTTACATACGAAGTGTAGTCAGATATAAAATATACTCGAATAATTAAATTAACCATAAATAACAAATAAAATCAATGTGGACAATTTGACCTCGACGCAGCTACGCTAAGCAGTCACAACTTTGTTCTAAGTAAAGCTAAAATTGCATTAAAAAAAATATATCAACGAGATCACATTGCTTGTGGTCAAATGAACGTTTCCCAATTTGATAACCCGTTAAATTTTTTATTTATAACTACATATTTCTAAATATAAAATAACATTATCTTTTTAGGTCGGATCGAAAACTACAAGAGGGTCTACACACAAGGTTGTTCTTTTTTAATCTACATACATCGAAAGTGTTTAGGGAACAAGGTTTTTTTGAATATTTTTATATTTTTAATATTTAATTACAACATTAAGTCAAATTAAAATATTCATATAAATTTATGAAATTATTTATTTAGTTAGTAATTTTTCTAATTATTAAATTAACCGAAAAAGCTATTGGTTTAAAAAAGTAATTAAAATACCTGATTTTCAGTAATTGACAAAAATGCGCTTGACCCCTAGACAATTTCAATGTGTATACATATACATCCTACCTAAAGTCGTAAATGAAACCTGTGTCATGGTCGTGAATGAGTTTTCCCTCCTATTTTCTTGTAACAATAACACGAATCTAAACAAAAAAAACCTAAGTATGATAAACACAACTGTAGCCTACCCTGTAACTGTACCCTAATTTCTTTAAAAAATTACATAAAAACAACCTTATACAAACCACCTCTAATTGAAGATACATAGTTCCGGATCTCATCCTGTTAATAAAAATCTATAATAAACTTCCTGAAAAAAAAGTATTAATTTTTAAATGTTATTACGATGTGGATGAGTAATTTCAGGATAAATCATAATTAATGTTTGCCCCTCTCCCGTCCCTCTTACGATGCCTCTCAAGGTGCATATGTTTGTTAGTGTAGAAAAATATTCTTAAGTATATATTTCGGTATTGACAATACATGTAAAGCGCTTGTTATTTCAATGTTATGTGTTAATCATTTTTAGTCATAAAATAAAATAGCACATTGGCTACTGTTGATACAGCGTTTCTACAAGAAATTCGACATGCGATTTGAAATTTTTATTACGTAACGGTTCTGTTTGTTCATCACAATTGTACAATTGGCTATCACGAGAAATCAATAATAAAAAGCATTCCTGAAACTATCCTGATTATATTTATGTTGATCGACTGAATTAACAGTCACCAACACATATAACCCACGTGGGGCGATCGGATCTTCAATAAATGTCGTCGCCTACGGCAATTTGTATACTATGACCTCTATTAAGAACTCTCAAAACTCAGAAACAATTTACAAAAATTATCATTTATCATCGCATGATTCCGGTGATGTTTGAGATTTAAAGTTTCTAGAGATGTAGTGATATAAAATCAAATTAATAAAAATATACTTAAATATCTTATAGAGATAATTTGTAACAAGAGAATCGATTTACAGAAAGTAATTTAAGAATAAATAGTAAACAAAATAAAAGTTGTTATTAAGTCACTAAAAAGACTACACAACAAATTTAAAAAATGAACTACAACCAAACAAAAAATCAGTATCACAGCATAAAATCAACTGCAAGGAAACGAAATTTGAAAAATTTCTCTAAATACGTCCCGCAAAGATGAAATCAAAAGAAAACGACCAACATACAAGGTGTACATAAACTCGTATTGACGCAAGATACACAATAGCCGATTCGATATCCATTTTGTGGTGTAAATCTCTATGAACAACATATTCCGTTTTACGCATTAGTAACTGGGTGATTTATTTTTATCTTTACCATTTCATTTTCATTCTACTTAACATATTGTAATTCTTATTCAACATTACAACTGCAACAAATATTGTTTGTTTTTGGTACATTACGATACATTTATTATTTATTTTTGTATCCTGGTTGAAAGATTAGTTAGAAATAGTATGCATGCAACGTAAGAATTGGAAATATCACTGCAATCATCCTTTGTGAAATGGACTACATTTAGAACGCGATAGCTTTTTTTGCAGAAAAAATAATAAATAAAAGGATAAGCAACAAACTTTGGAAGTACATAATAACAATTGACGGAACTATAAGCAGTACACCAAAGCATTACTTCTGCATTTTTAAGTCTTTGCTTCGGACATTATGCGACAATCTGTCAATTTGAATAGGCCTATGTCATTGAGACATTTTCAATTACCAACTAGCAATTATATCAAATAACTACCGTAACCACGCACAATGGAGGGCCATTTGCCGTACTAGTGTACTGTAGTAGTCAAAATAACAAAATTATCCAATAGGAGATCAATATCCAGTTACAAATTCAATTTTTTACTGTATTTTTTGTTCATATAACCACAAGCAGTGTTCATATTGCAGAGAAATAATTAAGCCGCGATAAGCCGACTGTAAGGAGCTGTCCTGGACGCAGTTGAAATCTTAGGCCGGGCTACTACGAATTAATCACCGACTCCGCCGCCACCGCTGCGTCTCCTGCAAACAATGCCTTACAATAAAACCAAGTTATCATTCAAATTTATCTCAAATTAATAAAATGTTGATTAAATTATATTGTTAGGGTTCGCGTTTTTGGTATTAATTTTGATTGGACGGTGCACCTAAAACACGATTAACCAATCGAAGACCTTGATTTTCCCCGTCTTGTAACCACCGGGATATTGCAAGTTTCCTGACGAGTTGCGACATTCCGCAACAACACAGAGCGTCCGTGATTATGGAGAGAAAAACAGAAGTTGTCAAATCACTTTACCAACGAGTTTACTTTGCACCCGTCGCAAATCCCACAATAAATATACATAGTCATTGTAATTTAATATATAATATCAAAAATAGAGTGCTAAATGAAACTCCGAGTCAGGATTCCATATATAACCAAGATAGATGATAGTTGATTGGGTCATGGGAAGGCGGAGGGTTTATCGCAGTACAAAAAATAGAGTTAAACAATCTCAGAATCTTATTACATCGTAAAGTTCATTACACTGGTTCCATAGGAAATAGTTGCGTGCCTGAGTGGAGGTGAGGAATTATTAGCATACCTGTCGGCAGCCATGAGCGCTTGGTGCGCCTCTCGCTGCGCAGACACCTGCACCAGCTCAGCAACCGTCGCCGCCTGCTGCTCCGCTGCAAAAAAACGTAAACATTCACCTATTTGGACAATCGGCGAATTGGAGAGTCTCCGATTTTGTACTCAACAGATGGCGAGACACTGAGGTAAAGTCTAATTATAATAACATTACTATACCTACTATTTGGTTCCAAAGTTACATTTCAATGAAGTTTTTATTTCTAGTCCTTACGTTTGCGTTTCTTACAACTCACACTTCAAAGCGTATAAAAAAAAATTATAAACATTTATAAAAAAAGTTTTTTCAATAACTCCGCAATGTACTAATTTTGATAAACAATTAATCTTGAGCTACACAAAGGCAGGACCCGCTTAACAAAGATTCTGATTTATAAAGTGAACCACAAACAATTATAATAAACCGGTTAATTATTACAATTGATCGAAGTTCACTGGTAGTGAAAATTAGAAACAATCACAAAATCATGCACGCACAAGGTAGACAATGTCGTGGGTGAAGTATTGTTATTTACTTACCTTTTCGGACAGCAAATATTAGGTCTTTCTACATTTGTCTACATTCTTCTTTTAGCACTGCGTTCGTGATCAAAGCGAGTTTATTAAACGAACTTAACTTACACAAGAGCTGTGTGCTTTTCGATAGTCTCTATGCCACGCAGCTGGTGCACCTCGTCCGAAACCAATGGCACTCTGCTAATTAAACTTACCCGAGAGCGGTCTCGTTAACCTCCGCTCCAGCCTTGCGACCCGCCGGGCGTGCGGCTCGTTAGAATCATCCCGAGCTCGCCTCTGTGCGACAAGTCTGGCCCACCTCGCTTCGAACCACAGCTGCATCGCGTCGCGCTCGTCGACATCCGCTGCGCCGGAACACTCGGCTGTAGCGGTCGCTATTGTATGGGATGAGCGATGTAGGCGTACACACACTTAGCAAATTAAAATTAGACCACAGTGGCTCAGCAGCAACGAGCTCCCAAAATTATATGAGCAGTGTTCGCGTCCGGTAAAAACAAAAATTAAGTTTGCCAAGCTCGTCTGTATACGCCCTAAATGATTTGTTAGGATTTGCAAGTAACGTGGTTTCGTATAACAATAAAATATTTAAAATCAGGGAAAGCACGATTATGACTAAATTATTAACGTTTTACTATGAATAGTGCACAACATTAACTAACATGCTGAATTAATATGTGGTGATAAACCTTGGGTGACGAACTTCAATCATACCTGGCAATCTAGCAGGTTGCGGGCGCGTATCTACGGGCGGACGGTAGCCGGCGGGGGGCGGAGGCACGGGGGGTGCCTCCTGCAACGCACCCGTCGACTTGTGCGCGTTCATACGCTGCGATGGCGACGGCTCCTGCGCGCATCCAACTAGGTTTTATTCTAGGACACCAGTTACATTTGGGCTTAATAATAATCAACGACTACCATTTTTTTTCACTGCAAAACATATAACAATCAAAGCGGCAGCCTCTGAATATAATTAGGCGCTATAACTGAATTACCGTACCAGAAAATTATCTGCAAAAATACGACGCATTCACAAAAATTATTAGTACTAAAAGTAAAGAATGAAAAACGCTTACAATAACCATTATCAAACGATTGTCTTTTTTTGTTTCCATATTCGGATTATCACCTTTTCCCACGTGTCATTCGCGTTCCCAGTCAAAGATGTAGAAACAAAAAAATAAAATATATTGAAACTTAACCATATAAGCAGATAACTTTCATGGCACTGTGACATGCTACCGAAATATCCGTGATATAGCCGATGTACAACGTTTCAATGTTTACATAGATTTTTGTTTCAATGTTTGTAAAATAATTATATGGAAAACATGCTAGTGATGATAAAATGCTAGAAGATTTATTTTTCTACTTATATTTTAATATAGTGACTCTTTTCGGTGACATGTTGTTTCAATGTTATCAGTTTACCTTGAACTAGACCTATAATGTTTAAATTGAACTGCATGAATTTTTACATAGAAAATTTCAGCTTTCTGTCTCTGAAAAGATGCACCACTTTTTCGTTTTGGGCATACACAGCGAATTTAATGTGAACCTGAATATGGACCATTTTGAATAACAGCAAAACCCAGTGGGCCCATGCGCCGCACTCGCATGCAATACAGACTTTTTAGATGTTACAAGCTCATTATCATTCCAAACATCTATAGTTTTACAGGACTTGAAAATACGCACTATAACTCTTTCGATTTTTGGGACTAATTTATTTTATAATATAATAATAATATACCAGGACTGAACTGCGACTTCTCTTGTAGGAAGTAACATTAAACTTTCTTTGATTTTTTTACTTGTAAAAACTACAATTCACTCTTTTCAAAAATCCCTTTCAAAGAATAGTGTGCAAACTAGTCACTGAAGATATACAGAGTGAACAGAACTCATTTCCTTAAGCTGTGAATTGCCGCTATAGAATTGTGCTACTGCTTTAAACATATTTAAAAAATATATACCAAAAGCACTTATAGAACTGCTAAAAAATAATATCAAATGCGTTTGCAATAATGTGATCACACCTTATTCGAGTACAGTGACGTAAGATGCAAATTATAGTTAACTAGCGCCTGTGCGTGAGATGTGAACGAACACTAAGCCCACAATTATAAAAGTATTGAACAGTCCTGTGACCAACGGCGGCTATGTTGACGTTGGATCAATACAGTAGACTACAAGATATGTTATAAAAATAAAACATTTTTGCAGTAAAATCATCAACCCACACAAAAGCTGTTTAGGTAGAAACCGATAAAGAATACTTAAAAAAGAACACCAAATATTATAACTACGACAAGCAAGCTATAGGTCTAAAACGAGCTTTGATCCAACGTCAAAAGACGAAACGTGCACCGCGCATGTGACAGAGCAAGAGAACGTACAGCGGGTGCTTCAGAGACAGCATGCGACTCACGACACTGATTGATTGCTTACGTGTGACGTCAGATCCGGTTCCGAGTGCCACTGAAAATTCAACTAATGTTAGTCTACTGAGGGTGTCCAAGTGATTTTGAACGAGTAATAGTCAAAATAGTCGACCAATTTCAAAACTATGCAAGTCTTCGAGCCCAAAGTGATTTTATGCGACGAACACCCGTAGAAGTGGTTTCAGCGAGTCAATGAATCTACAAAGACGGAATTAACTTATATAGTATTGCAAATTATTATTTTTTGATATTGGTCTTTAAAGCCCTTTCCGTTCCCTAATATTTTCTTGTAATATGGACACCCTGTGTAACTAATTTACTACCATTCTAAACCATTTTAATTCTACCTTTTTATGTACATTTCTCAATGTTAGTCTAGTTACTAAAATCTCTCCGACTATAATTTTGTATACTAATTTGCTGGCTAATTGTAGACTATATAACTTTTCATTAGCAATAATTATATGTACAATTGGTGTCTTATATTTCAAAGGTGCTATTAAAAATGCACGGAAAATTAAAATGTTAATGAAATGGTTCAGCCAGGCTATTATCTTTACTTTTTGCACTTGAATTAGTGAGTGGCTTAAAATAAAATGTATCTAATATAAATTAGTTATTCTTACTTTGAAAAACGGTGGTAAATATATCACATTAATGCTCAAATACAAAATGTTTGGATAGCAAAAAAGTATTTGGACTTTGCAAGCGAAAAATTTACAATTGAGCTTGATACAGTATTAATATGATACTTCGTAACGCTCCCACTTGCCCAAGTATTCCCAGATTATAAATTAGTTAACTAGATTTACCTTTTGCCGAGGTCCAAGTCGCCTGTTCAAATAGTTGGAAATGCTTTTCATTATACTTTTTCTTCGCCTGTCTCGAGCGAGTTCAGGGTCGGAAAAAGACGGTGTGACCGGCAGTGGCATGAGCGGGGGTGCTGGCCGTGGCGGGGGAGACGGGGTGTGCTCGGGCGGTGGTGGCGGCGGTGGTGGGGAAGACAATGCTGGTGGAGGAGGTACGGGCGGTGGAATACTCATTGCTGGAGATATCCGCGTCCGTCTAGTTGATTTCCTAGCCACACGCGGACCGCTGCCTAGCCTTTCCAGTACCAACCGCCTCACGACCTCAGTCTGTTCTTCCCTTTCCCGCTTTATCTCTTGCACCTTATCCGTAGTATCCCTAGTTGGCGTAGGAGATACCGGCGATATGGAACCGGAACTGAGGTTCAAAGAGATGGACATCTCGATGCTTCGGTTCGGCGAATCCGTGCTCCGCGACATCGACCGGCTGAATGTCTCACTAGCTGATCGGCAGATGGCAGGGGAATAGATCCTTATTGAACAGGGTGACGAAAAATGAATGGATGCGGTGGAACTCGTAGACAATATTGTAGACATAGGAGTTTCCGGGGCTAGGGGAGGGGAGGACACGTCTTCGATAGGCGGGGTAACAAAATCAATCGTTTTCGGTGGCTTCGGATTCGTCTCACTGTGGTCGAGTGGCGGCGACAGATCTGTCAAACTCACATTTTCAGGTAAATGTACATCGGGTACTATAGTCTCACTTTTCTTGTCGCTGCTCGATTCAGAGCTGTCTATTGATTTGAGCAACTGTGGAGTTATTAGTTCCTCACTAACAACGTGCTCGATTTTAAATTCACTAAGTTCACTTTTGTCTATTTCTGGATATACAACTGTTTGGTCATTGGATTGGTCAGTGACACTAGCTGCTTGATTAGCAGGCATTACCACTGTTTCAGAGAAGCTGCGTTCAATGAAATTCATGGAACGGTCGTTGCTAGGTGAGTACAGACCGTAATCGTCGACTAACTCCATGTACCCTTCATTCTTGGGAGTGATCGGAGTATCTATCGAAGGATCCTGATCACCCTCGTCGACAAACTCGAAGTGTTCCAGCGCATTCGAGTAAAGCACTGGTTCAGGACTCGTTCTTCCACACACATGACTGCTTATCGCCGAAATGTTTTTGGAATCGTGAATTGTCTTAGGCCCGCTGAGCGTCCTCGGGTTTTTATTTCTCTTTTTATCGTCATCGAAATTGACATCATCGAGAACTGCGCTCTCCGCAGCCCAATCCGAAAGCTCTGTCTCCGTTAAAGCCAGAGTAGTCGCGTCACGACACGACTCGGACGACTCCGACTCGACGGCGACGACAGTCGTGCTGGTAGCAGTGCCTGTACCCGATTCTTTCTCATCGTTGTCCTCGGTGCTACTATTTATTAGCATTAAACTATCTAACTGTATCAACTCGCCCCCCTCATTGTGTACTTCGACTCTCGGTACAGATTGGTTGGGAGCAGTTTCTGTGTGCGAGGAGTCTTCGGAAAGTGAATCGGAGTCTAAATCGGGGTCTACTTCCGCCTGTTCTTTAGGTTCAGATTTTCCCTCTTTTTCTTTGATGGTTCCGTCTCGCCAGTCTTTCTTGCAGAGCGGCGAATCTCCTTTGGTAAGCAAATCTACAGGCGCATCGGCACATAAGTTCTGAATAATATCGGGCATAGGCGCTTTTTTCTCTTCCGTTGATAACTGAAAGGTGACAATTGGTTTCTGGATCTGCGCTGGAGCTGGTGCTGGGTGGAGCATTTTCTGGAACTCTGTAATATTTGATCGGAAAGCCTCAAGTTTTGTATCTAGTTGCGAGGTAGAGTCTGATTTTCGGACAGCCGGGGGTGAGGCTTCTCCAAGAAGATATCTCCGTTTGAGTTCGAGAGCTCGTTTGGTGGCAAGGCCGCCGGCGGAACGAGTCCTACTGAGGGGGTACTCTTGTGGAGGAGGTGGCACTGGGAGAGGTGCCTCCGTCACCAAGATGGCGGGGGGAGAAGGAGCGGGTGCGCACTCTTCGCGTGCAAATTCGCTGTCAGTGGACACCTCGGTAGCAGACGACACCTCTTCGTCGCTGGAGTCGCTCTCATCTTCAGACTCCACCTGTTTGAAAGCACATTATGATATGTGGCACAAGAGATAGATATGGAAGCTACGTAGATAATAGACACATTGCATTATTTGATAAAGCATAGTAATGCACTTGTTTGTTGTCCAATATCGGAAATAATAACTCGTGTTACTATTTCGATACACACTAGTTCTAATATTTGCGCACTATACCTTTTCGTACTTGTCACACAACATGTACTGTTTTAATTCAAATTCGCACAAAATGAGGCTTTATGAAAACTTACATTGCAAGAGTCGACAAAACTAAATACATGAGATTACTTTAAGTGTGCGCCCCCACGAAATATTTGCACAATAAACAAAAAAAAGAAGCACAAAGTTTGAAGGTGCGCCTGGATTCCCACACTAACTTACCGTCTTAATGGCATAATAACATGTCCCTTATAGAAATGATAAAATATACATATAATACTTATATATACAATATATATTGTAAAGAAACCCACAAACAACACAAAAAAGTATATACAGTAAACATAAATAAAAATATACAAGTATTTACAATTATTTCGCTATATACGAATATTCGTATTATTAAAAGCCATTATTAAATAGCTTAGTAATTAAGTTTAATATAACGATGTAATACATAAATTTAATTATATTAGTATATAAAAGACAAATACATAAGAGCCATCAAACTATAAAAAGCTTAGTGCTTTGTCACTGCTTTAGTTAAAATTTCTCATTTCTACCGACATTATGTCGAGCTACTACAATAGATTTATCGCTACTAATCTTAGTTCACATAATTAAAATATATTACTCAATGACATCTTTAAAATGCGTTAATTCTAAAGAGATCCAGGTACCCGTCATCACCTACATCACATAGGCACTTTTCGTGTCGAATGTTCACGTTAGACTGTTTGCTACTCTACGGCAGTCTTAGCCAAATGTAATTTCAAATAAATCAAAGTTTATTATATGTTTTTGTTATGATTTAGTTCAAATAAGATTACGCTGGTGCAGTTGATAAAACAATAAGCGAAAGACGGAAGTTAGTGTGAACACTGTAACCGCGCCCCGGCCGCCGCCCCGTGTTAGCTGGCTGATATAATGATGCATGCGCGAGTAAACATACTTCTAACCAATTTTTTGGCCCCTTGCTGTTTGGGACGACTGTTTTTTGGATTAGAAAAAGTGAAATGAATTCGCAATTCGGGACGACGGTGGCGTGCGAGGTGCGGTTGTGCGCACCTCCCTACTGCAACTACGTGGTCACCGGCCCCGATGCCCAGGCACCCAGGTGACCATATAGCCAAACGATGATTAGGCGAGTCGGCAGCGAGGTACCTCGCTACTGTCAGTCGGCGGGCGCGCATCCGCCGGCACTTCGCGGCGTCGTGCTTCTCGAGCTGCGCGCATGCGGGAACACGATTCGTTGCCAGACGACTCGGCACCTGTGATCAAACATCACATATTACACCATATTAGGTTCAGAGCGTTAAAATTTAAGACATACATATATCGTCGGGGATAATGCAAATCCGCGTATGTAGTAATGTAGTAAAAATTTCACATTAAGAGGGATTTAACGTTATTACTTTGTTATTCCAATGGCTACGACCATTGACCTAGCAATAAATGGACGTCGGGTTCGCGCTAAAGAGTGTCCGCACCTATAGGGCGTTAAAATCACATACAAAGCGTCAATCGCACAACAGTCTTCATTCGTTCGAGTGACAACGCGGTTGTCAACCATGCAGTACCATATAATAATAACTTGTAAAGTGTAAAAACAGGATTTAGTATCATATTTTCACTAAACAAATATATTGTGTTATCATAGTTAACAATTAAAAGTGTTATTTTGTACAGTATTATCGTATTTAATTTATATATAAATGAATCGTAAATATAAATTACAAAAGCACACAAAATAATCAAATAGCTAACTGTCCTTTTTCTACACAATGCATGCGCAAAAGATGGAAAGAGACCCATTACGTTAATTTCAAGAAGCTTATATAAAGGTTTTGGTCATTTTTAATTTTTCGAACCACAGGCGATTGAAATATTTAGAACAAAGAAACTATAGAGTCGCTTTGATTACAATCTTATTTAAAAAAAAATGTTTTTTATTAATGACGTTTAATTCGAGCTGACGAAATAAAATGTCAAATGTATTTTTTTAGGAAGATTACAAAACTAAACTAAACCGGTTTTCGGAATTACGGTTTACGTTTAGTTGGAATATCAGTACATTTCTTATAGTACACGCTTATTTTCACATTTGTAGTAATATTTGTATGTCTGTATCTGCCCAACTCTTTATTATTTCTTTAAGTGAACTTGCACAAAATTCGACATAATAATATACATAAAAATTAATTAATATTTACGATAAAGGCTACTCCAGCACTCTTGTGTTCAAATAACTTTCAGTCGAAGCTAAATATGGTGCATTTTGTTAAATTTCCAGTAGAAGCTGAATATGGTGCTTTTGGGTCCTTTGTTGCAAGCAATTAGGCAGTACTGCAACGACATTACAATTTAAATTAACGGTCTTATTCATAAAAAAAGCTTATCATAGGTTTAAAACACTCATTAGTTAAAATGCTCTATAAGGTTTTAAAACGTTTGATAACAATGTTTATTCATAAACGTTCTATAAACTTCCTACAACTATTATGCTGTTAAAATTCGTTTATAAATCAAAAAGTTGCCATTTTAATGAAGTCAACCAAAAAATTTATCAACAAACTACAATGTCAGTGAGATCATGGTGAGATCGCACTGATTTAGCGTGACCATAGACATTATGATGGATTAAAAATTCATATTTAGTCTACGACACGGTGATACCTTTGACAGATACGTCTGGATACGTCAATGTTATTGTAACAAATAAAGCGCGCATTGATCAAATCGTCTTTACATTGGCAGAGTTAAACAAACAACGGCCAAAAAATCAAGAACTTAACTGAATTAAAACAAATCTTCCAAGTGCATCTTTAAAATGAAAAGGCAAAGAAGTGAAAATTGGTTGGAGGAGGATAAGGTTTGTACTGATTCACGTACAAGTTGATTCAAGGAAGTTTTGTTTTGTATAAATTCTCAATATCTTTTACTTACTTTTGCTTTTGCTTCTATTTTCTTTAGTTTATTTTAAAAGAATTGGTCAAGGAGCGGGTTTCAACGTTGGAAAATAAAAACACTGATGCAAATACCAACGCGAAAAAGGTGGCGGCCTGGCATGATCTACATACGAAGTATCTAATACATAAATATGTTTAATAACCATCTATTGAAGAGGAATTTGGTGTATTTGTTTAAAAACAGAATTTATGTTCCAGTTTTAACAGTATGGCCAAAACTTCAAGAACCTTGCAACAAATAAAAGTTCAATGGGGCATTATCAAAATGTCAGAAAAAAAAAAGAAAATTCCTAGAGCGGAAAGACAGATTCCAAACAGGTGGTGGACCACCACCTGCTTCTGAACCTCCAAGTGGAGATGATATTGCTGTGTGGCTTCCTCATGCATTCACAGTGGACTCGAATCAGTTTGATTCAGATAACCAGGTGCATTTTAAAATTACACATATCTACTGGTTCAGTAAGTATTCCGTACTGATTAAAGAATAATGTGTATTTTTGGTTTCAGAATTTTTTAGAGAAAAATTCAGATTATAAGGAAAAACAGCATGACCAACAAAATGAAAAAAAAAGAACCCTGTCCATGTGATGTAATTATAAAACAAAACAACATGCCAGAAATAGTATGTGTATTATATTATTATTACAGTAGTTAAAAATTAATTAATTAGTAGTTAATTAATTAAAATTTTTTTGCCAGTTCAATTCTATATTATTTATTAGTAAATAACACCTAAAGGATTTTAAACTTAAATTTCATAATAATCCATTCATTAGTTTGCTGTTAGTGTCTAGCAAGATTGCAATTTCGAAAATCAATTAGGCAGTCTTATTTATTTTAATTTTATTACTTTAGATATTGGAAGAAAGTACATCTAAGCAACAAAGCGAGTTTTGCACAGAACCCAAGATTCCGATTTCTAAATTGAAAAAAAAAAGGTATGTATTGTGAAATGAAATAAAATTTTAAATCATTTTATCTTGATACCTATTATAGCTTAAAATTATTTGATAATTGTTGTAAAAATCTTTTGACCTTGATTTCTGATGACTATGTAAATAAAAATCAATTGCCAAGATGTATGTACGTGCATAACTTCAGATCAGCTGCATCTATTTGGCTAAGTCTGTTTTGGTTGTTTGTAAATTGTTAGTAGAAGGTTTGTATGTCTATATTTCTGGAAAGTTCACGGGAAAAGTTGGGAACTGGGCAAAGTTGTGCTGATCAGCTTGGATTGGACACATTTATAACTAATATGAAACACAGAAAAAACCTTATTGTATTAATTTTGTATTTCAGATCAGTAATACAAAAAAGGAAAGTGCTGCACTTCAAATAGCAGAAACTGAAACAGCATGCAGAAAAGAGCTACATGAGGCACAGATGGTTAATGAACATCAAAAATTAAAAAATTTGCTTTTGATGGAAGATGTTATTAAACACAAATTAAATTATTATAAAAATAAATTAAACTGATATTTGTATAAATTTTTTATTGAACTACTCACTAAAATGTCTACTGATAAAAGTTTGTAAAACAGCATTAGCATTTGCACTTCCCCTTGTAACTTCTTGGGTTACTTCGTTTGCACGGCTATTACTGCTACCCTCTAATTGCATGTCTCCATGGTCAACTGCTATGTTGTGAAGGACTGCTAGAGCAACTATAGTAGTTTTGACATTATTTAAACTGCATGTCATGCCGAATAATAGGCACTGAAACCGTTGTTTCCATACTCCAAAACAGCGTTCCACAGTATTTCGTGTGGCAATATGAGATTGGTTATATTTTTCTTCACTTCGATTTTGAGGCCTTAGAATAGGAGTAAAGAGATATGGTTCTAATTTATATCCGGAGTCACCTAAAAGACGCCCTCTAAATGAGCCTCTCTCAAAACGCTCTTTGAGTAATGACTCATTAAAGATGCGGGCATCATGTGTGCTACCTCTCCATCTAGCAACAATATCCCGGATACGGAGATGTGCATCGCAAGTTACCTGTAATAAACATAAACAATATTAAATAAATATCAAAATGGAAAATATTATGTCCTTTGAATTTGTTTTTCATAATAAGACTCAAACTAGTAGCAGAATAAGCACCTGAACATTGAGAGAGTAAAATCCCTTTCTATTTATGTAATATTGGGCTGCATCACCTCCACATTTGCGAATTTTTACATGTGTGCAGTCAATGCAACCAATAACAGTTGGGAAATTTCGTATACCACGAAATTCTCTCATTACACGCTCTTCTTCAGCAAACGTACTGGGCATTTTAATAAAAGAAGCCGAGTGTTTTGCAATTGCCTTTGCAACTCTTGCACAAATCCTACTGGTGGTCGCTTGAGACAATCCGTGGTGGTCTCCAGCATCTTCTTGAACCTGTAATTAAAATTGATGACTTAGAAAAGGTTTTGAGACATAGATATAATAGAAAAGTATAAAGCAACACAATAATTATAATTAATAGGTACTTGCCTCTCGACGACCCCAACATCTTATGGCAGTTAATACCTGAATTTCAGGAGACGTACCACAACCTCTATGATCTAATTTAAGATCGTCACGTATAAGGTTAATTATAAAAGTCGCTGTAGATTTACTAAAGCGATAACGCTTTTGAAAGTCCTCATCTTCCAAAGAAAATGGATCACTCCTATTTTTGTACACCTTTCTTCGAAGCGGACGGTTTTCAAGTTCTTCAATCACTTCAATAACATCTAAGCTCTGTAAGGCTTGCATTATGAAGTAATCTGTGATTATAAATAAGTAAGCTTGCTTTACAGAAGTAAGTTTTAAATTTCTTGAAATACTGAACGTCAAGTCGTTTTCGTTTACTTATTAATCAGCTGTTCAGAGTCCGCCATTTTTTTCTTACAAAACTGTTATAGTAGGGTCCTGGCTTCTATAAAGTTATGATAGGTTTATAGAACGGTTTAGCGCTAAAGTGCTTTTATGAATACGACTTTTGTTAAATCATACTATAGCGAGCCTTGAGATGTGTCATAACTTTTTATGAATAAGACCGTAAATGTTTTAGTTTTTTATATTTCGTTACATGTCACTACGTTTGTATAGGTTAACTTCGGACATTTTTTCGTGGTTTTTGTATTAGACCCGACGTCCATTTGTTGGTAGGTCAATGGCTACGACTCTCATTTTTGCACAGTAAGCATTAATTTATGTTGTCTACGGACTGATAACAATAGATCAATAAATCAATAAATCACGCTAATTTGATTGCCACGACATTTATGCGGATTTGATTTGGCTTTGAATTACCGAAATGTCGTATAAAGAACATGAAAAAACATAAATAAATTTTCCAAAAGGTACATGTATTTTTGTTATTTAAATCAGTTCGTAACAAGGATACCCACGTGATTGTACACATAATATAGCGATACCAGGAAAAAACAATGATAATAAAAAAATATGAGAGTGAAAAACAATCACCGTCGTCGGAATATTCGTCGTATCCAAAAGAGTCGTCGCTAAAGTAGAGATCTGGGCGCGTAGAACGTGTAGGGCGCGCGTCTAGACGCGGCAAATCAGGAGACCGAGGCGCCTCGCCGTCGCTGTCTGCCGCGTCTGTATATTCTTCGGAACTGGACTCTTCCTCGTCACTGGGCAATTATATTTATATAAGAATGAAAAGAGAAAGGTAGGCCTCAAAGTGTAAATGAATTATCTAAAATTAATGAGACTTATGATTTTAAATAAGTCTTAACTGCGAGTTTAACATTGTGCTAACAGATGACGCCTTTAAAACAATCTACAAGTATGTATGAGAAAACAAGTTTTCCAAATCTAGTGAACGTCATCTGTAATCGAGCGAAAGAACTATCTTATTGTATAAATAGATTATACATAACATCGTAGCAAGTTCAGCACACTCACTATCTCACTTCCCATGAAACTGATGAATTGGTATGTATTTGTATATAAACGATTGTAACGCACCTAAGACCACCAGCGCACGATGTCTCTGATGCCAAGAAGTTGCGATCTGTCCACTCGTCTTCGTCAATCTCTCGCGCGCCGTCGGACAGCTCAAGTGAGATACGTTCAGGTGTTGGTGGCGGGTGGTGCGGGTGGTAAGGGGTGGCGCCGGCTAGTAGCGCTGCGAGTCCGTCCGGCGCCGTCGTCCCACCGTGCCGGAGGCACACAAGACGCGTGCCGTAGCGCTCCATTGTGTAGTTGCTGTAGTGTAACAAATACGTCAGGTTCTATCGACCAGTTTAGGACCCTATTACGATGCAGTTAGGACCTGAAATGAATCGTTGAGATAGCGCTACGTGAAGTGTATATCAACATCCCGCTTTTTTGTCGTTACGAATCTATACTGAACTGTAATAAGAGTTCATGGCAAGGCCCCAGAGCTCTGCTAATTTTAAATCATCTGTCTCCGAGACCAAGCGGTATCAAGCTGGACTGCCACTGTTGGTTATGTGTTTATGTGTGAGCATATCCATGGCACCCGCGATACAGCGTTTCCCTAGTGCGGGGCTATGAGTGTGTACGTTTTTTTAAATAGAAAACCACCGTGAGACTCAGACATATTAACTAAAAATAAGGGATAACTCACTACACTCACTTTGTAAAGTCTCGTCTACAGAAAGTGACGTTGTTAGTGTAGTGTGCAATCCTGCATATGACTTTAATAAAAATGAAGCAAACGAGGGTAGATTCTCGCCGACGAGAGATCCTACGCCTGCTGCCGTACCTCTGATCGGGCTGCCAGGGCTTTGGCGCGCAGTTTTCGTCGAATCACCGCCGCGGAATCTCATGATTAAGGACCACGAATTGGTTCGAAACATGTCGAGCTAAATTCGACTTAAATACGTGAGTTATTCGTTATTTTTAGTTAATGTGTACATTATTATTGTAATTATCTCGATTAAGAGTCGAGTAGAGTGTCAATGGCAGGATTATGAACGTTTGGTTTTGGTTTGTCAAAGACTAGTTCATCGAGCTTCTATTCAACTTCCATTGCAATTTTTTTAGCATTCTGCTCTTCAACGGCGAGTCGATGACACGTTAATGGCGTAGTCTACTGTTATGTATGTTTCATTTGAAGACTAAACTGTTGATTTAAAGAGATTTTTTTTTTTTTATATAATATATATTTGTAATAAGTGACGGGACGTACAAATAGTGCGCCTGATGGTAAGCTTCACGCCTGTCCATAACAGTTTCAGTGCTTTAAATCACAAAGATCTGAGGGGCACTGCCACTGCGCCCATCACCCTGAGACATAAGTTGACAAGTCGCATGTGCCTGTACTTTCACCAGAACCCTTACCCTTCAAAACCGTAACACAGTAACGCTGACATTACTGCTTGGCGGCAGAAATAGGTAAGGCAGTACTTCCCTGGGCGAACTCTTTCACAATGAGCTCCACTGCTACTATTTGAATAGAAATTTCCTTGTTAGTTCATAAAGCAATATCAATCACTAATGATTGAATGAATGAATGCCATCAGTGTCATTCCACTGACACTATGTGGAGACTCAACTGCCATTGCAAATAGATTTTAGCAGAATAACAAATATTATCCTAATTGCATTATAATTTCAGTGGAGACCCAATGGAATTACAATGACCAGTGATTTTGAGAAAATTAGCTGACTTGGTGCCTTGTGTAAAGTGCTGAGGTTTTAGAACGTATCTGGTAACATCTTAAATTCGAAAAGGGCGTTCGGTTCTGTTAACAATTTAATACATGTAGCGTGATGCATGAACGTATGTATAGTCGTACCCAGGTCTTAAGACGGCCTTACAGACGGCACAGCGGAAACAGGCTCTGTGCAGATGAAGCCCGTCGGCTACCACGCCCTCGGCAGCGAAGACACGTGTACCACAGGCTGCGCACTGCATACCCGTTGAGGAAGGCCCGCGCCAACTCTTCTTCTGCGCATAACGTCAATTAAATTAAGGGCCAAGAAACACTGGTCGAGAGTTTGTTCACACAAAATGCACAATTAGTACGGAATGCTGTGCGCAATCTTTGTGAAGATGATTATTTTAAAGGAAATTTTAAGAAAATAGTCTTTCTCACCTCGTCTTTTGGTACAGACTTGGACGGCTCGTCTTCTTTTTTTACGAATTTGTTCGCTAAATTAGCAACCTGTACAAACAATTCCTTAATTACTGAAAACAGACGCAATAAACTTTGAAATGCATAAGCTCACAAACGGTAATTATCTATATGGCAGAATCGAATCTACTAAAATGTAGTAGATTACAAGAAAAAAGTTTAACAGCATGCAGAGCGACAGTACCTTCTTGGTGCCGTGATCGGGTCGCCCGGAGTCGCGCAGCTTCTGATCAAATTTGTTCAATGTCTCGTCGATCTCTACCCACTTCTCGTCGCCCCCTTCGCCTTGTTTAAGGCGTCGCTGACGACCCAAAAACTGAGAATAAATCATAATAAGTTATACATAATAATTACACTAGGAAACTTTACAATTACTGTCTTTGCCACTTTCAATTAGCTCTTTAGGAGACTTGTGCCTTTTTTAAGATTCTTTCGAAGCCCTTTATCCGATTTAATAAAATGCAAAGATTCTTACACAAAGTTATAACCGATTAGTTCGAACCGATTCAGCAGTTTATCAGAATGTACAATTTCAAATATTTTATTAAGTAATAAACAGCTCAATTAAAAAATATTTTATTGATAAAGTAAAATATGTGAACCAAATAACCTGTTCTCTATCCCACTTGGGCACCTTCTCAGCAGTCTTGGGCTCGGGCCGGCCGAGTCGATTCTCCATGATCTTCCTTTCAATCTCTTTTACATTCCAGTCGTCGCGCTCGATCTTGCCCACCGACCGCATCAGATCCTGAACGATTTTTATATTTGCATGTAATTGAGTTTTCTTCCCAGCATTCTAAATAACAAGATCCAATGATACTATACTGCAAGCATATTATATCAAGCGCGCACTACCACAATCATAAACACAAGAAAGCAAACCGGCCATGAGCTGCAAAAATGAATCAAAATAGTACCTTGGGTTTAGTGGGCTGCCTTGGCGAAGCGTTGGTGTTTGAGCCAGCCAGCTCTGCAGCCAGTCGAGCCACACGCGCACCACCACCCCCTGACCGTCCGCCACCCCCCACTATGCGACCCTCCTCCTAGATAAAAAAAAACATTATTAAAACCTATTATGAATTCGGCGCGTATGTTAGTATTACAGTGATAACGCTTAAATTCAAACGGTGATATGCTAAAACTGTGACCATTTATTTGTGCGCCTAAATATATAAATAAACTTTTACCTATGAGCACAAGAACAAAGTCATGTTAAACTTTGGATAGACGCAAAAGAAACTAAATTAGACTGAGCTTGTAAGTTAAACTCTAACCCCTTTGGATATAAATAAACTCATTTAAGTGTCATATCACCGGAATAAAAAAAAATGGTTGAATTAATTATGATTTGTGAGCCATTCGCGTACGCGGTATACTAAGTGTAAATAATTATTAACGTCTAAAACAAAAAACCAAAATTAATATAAACTACCTGTTTTCTTAGATTAGTTCCTCTAAAATAGAACAACAAACAATTGATTTTGTCAGTTCAGTAATAAAATTAAGTTCATGCACACACAAAACACACAATGAAATATATATGTTTTAGTTCCAAACGTGCGAATTATTCCTGCAAAAGATTGTTCGAACTTCACACAGAGACAGCTCATGCGTCACACAAGGTGAAGCTCACATAATGCTGTAGTTGTTTCTCGAGGTTGCGCACTCGGTCGCCGAAGTGCGGCGCGTTGGCGCGGTACTGCTGCAGGCCGACGTCGTATGTCAGGTCTGCAGCGCGCACACCCGGCCTCGGCTCTGCCGCTAACATCTGCAGACTACGTTCAAATCTTTGCTTCATGATCTCCCGAGCCGCCTTGCGCCGCCCAGGTTTAACCCTCTTAGCATCTTCTCTCTTCTTCTGCATCATGTCGGACACCCTTTGCATCCTAAATGCCATTTCACTAGAGTTGCGTGTGTGCTCGACATTATATCCCGTTTTTTGGTCGACACGCTTATTCCCCTCTATCAAGTCGACTACTCTCTGCCTCCGGAGAGCCATTTCTGGATTGCCTATCGAATCAGTTCGCTTCGATCTATCCGGACTGGGCGCCTCCCTGCGTTTGCCGCTACCCTCAAGTATTTCCGCCATCCTTTTCGCCCGCACGGCTACATCGCCTACATTGGGCACAGATCCCGCACGTACGGACCTTTTATCGTGACTTTTGTGAACTTCGAACAATTGAGCTTTCGGCTTCGTGTTCAATACAATTGAAGATTCAATCGAGTTGGATCTTCCGTTATCAATTGAAAATGATCTAGTCATTGGTTTGGGTTTCGAACTTTCTATTGACGAACATCTCACGAACGTTTTAGGAGTGTCTGTCGACGAAGAACGTGTGAACGGTTTGTTTGCATTATCTATAGAAGTCGAGCGTTGATTCTTCAGGCTATCTTTGACGGGCTCTTTTTTCTTAAGCTGTTTTTTCTCGGCTTTGATGACTGTAGCGTCTGTATCCGGCGAATCGTCTAAATCGTCAAAATCCACAACTCTAATAGTTGATGAATCAAGGCCTTTTAGATTCCTAGGAGGCCTTACTGGTTTCTGTTCTATTTTGTCCTGGAAGAACTGGTTTAAACTTTGATCTTCTGGATTCACTTTCAGTTTGGTTTTAGTGGTGCCTTGTAACATCGCCGAAACGGAGTCCCTGAGCATTTTTGGATCAGGGGATTCATCGTCGTCTAGTAAAGCTAAAATTTGCTCCTGTAAATCTTTTTGTTTGTCAATGTGCGTCTCGTAGTCGGCAATAGAGTCATGGCCTTCGATGAGGCGAGCTAGCTGTGTGATGTCGTTTAGATCTAATTTTCCGATCTTTTTACGAATGTACTCAGCAGAATCGCTACTTACTTGTGGCCGGACGGAACGCCTCTTCTTTCTGTAGCTCGAATGCGATTTGTCAGCGTCAGCTGCGTCTGTTTCAAAACAAATGACAATTTATTATTCAAGTGATCAACACTGATGAATTCACAAACAAACATTGTGATGATGCGTGCTTTTACAATAATATTATAGTTATTCTATATTGTATAACAAGAGAAGCGAATGATATAAGTAGCTGCAAATTTGGAGAGTACTCACTAGAATACATGGAGAGCGTGTGTTCTGTCTGATTGCGACTGTGTTTCTCTTTTTGCTGACTTTGTTTGATCTGTAATTTAATAAAATACGTGTTCAAAGGAAACGTAAGAAATAAACATGTTAGTTTTTATTACCTTTAAGGGTACAACAAGAACTATGAATAATATCTCCGTCCAAGATTTAGTGAACAGCACAGTTAAATTTATATCTTGATTTTTAAACAAACGCCTTAAGCTTGACAAATTAACGCTATTTATTAAAATATAAATTGTAACTTTTAAATTGTTTGAAAAATAACTTAAACGTCTTAGATTTAAAGACAAGACATAATAATATAAGGAAGACTACCTGTTCGAACATGTTAGTCTCGTGATGCACGTGTGGCACCTCGCCTTTGAAAGCGGCGTAGACGCGCGCTAGGTACGCGCGCAGCTTCGCCTCCGGCACGTCACGCAACGTGCCCGTCGAAGATATCGGCGTTATGCCTGTTTTGATGTTATAAAGCCCATAAATCAAGACCAAACAGCAAAATAGTGCTAAGGTGCACCTTGGTACAAGACGCAGCTCTTCAGTTTAGTATCCATTTAAACGTGCGGTTTTTAAAATAGTCATTTTAGAAGTCGCAGGCGCCTAGTGCATCGCGTAGTATGAGGCCAAATATTGATTATTTATAAATGTTCCCAAAGATTTAATAATAATAACGTTGATCTCATTAATAAACAAAACATATTGTTTTTGTTATAAATTGTGTTTGTTTTTAATTGTATCTATAGTTGACTAAGCTGACTTTTAAGGTTTAAAAAAATCTCGAACAACTCGAGAAACCCGGGAAATCGGGTTCGGGAATTCCTGAAGCTCGAGAAAAAAAGAAATCGAGAAATCAGAAACCGTACTTACCAAACTCGTGTTGTAGCACGTGGTAAACGGCCCGCGGCGCTGTGCCAGGCGGAAGTAGATCGGGGCGATAGCGGCGCACAAGCGCAGTGAGCGCCGCCGCGCCGCTTGCCGCGCGCACACCAGCTTCCGACCATCCTACCCACGAGATCAACGCCTCCTCTGATACTTCGCCTTCTGTAAAAATTTGCTTCGATTAACCTTTTCTTAAGTAAACAAAACTCTTTACTCACTGAACATAACACAGCAAACATAACACCACACATTCACACAATATACATCCACACAAAAATACATAAAGCGAACCCACAATAGTTACCCCCACCTACATCACGATGCCGTATGTTATGCCCATTGCACTGGCGCTGACTCAGCATAATGCTACAGTGCCAAGCAACCGGCACTACAGCGCTGGTATTCTGCCAGAACCAGTACAGGCATCACTCGTCGACACAAAGCAAATTATAACAAAGAAAAATAATATTTAGAAACAATCGTGTTACGATTATATAAAATTAAATAATAGTATTATTAATTGCAATTGAAACAAGACCTCGTGAGAATGAGATAAGAAAACAAGTCATTATTTGAATAGCCTGGAATAGGTTCCTTTATATTTTCAGAACAATCAATCGGATATAAAATCTTAACGTTAGAGGTACAGTTTTGACCAATGCAGTAGTAATGTGAAATTATGTTTTTAGCCTCGTGTTGTTTGCACAATATTCCGAAAACGAGTTTTACGAAAGGCTATGGTTCCAAATTTTGATAGCGGTGGACTAAAAACTTAACAGAAACACAAAGGACTACTGGAGCACTACAAAATCATTCTGTCCATCGTGTCGCCAGGTGAGTTTATATAAATACTCCTGATTATTTAGTCTTACTGATACCAAATTTGAAAAGTATACTTTCATGTCTTTCGATTTTGAATATTTTGTTGCTGTATAGAGCAGCATGGACACGAGATGCAATTTTAAAACCAAGCCCAAGCGGTTTGGAAACTTTTAGATAGTAAGGTGGTGGCGCTAGTGACCGACAAGCACCACTGTGCGACATCTTTTTTTAAATTAATTCCTAACAACATTTAGGACAAATTTTCTATCATAATAACACGTTTGTTATTGGTAAGTGTCAGTTACTGAGTGTTCATTATTGGTGAGTGTCGATTACTGGTTAATTAATTAATGGATTTTTGGTTTTCATTACTGGAGATTTAGAGAAATTTCAATTTACACTTTTCTAGTAATAATTCTAATAGCTTTTTTATGAAACATACTACAGCATAGTCTTCCATGAGGTTTTATCTGTTAAGTAAACTATTCACTATTAATACTGCCTCTATGGTCGAACGGCTACCACGCCCGACTGCCACACAAAGGTCCCAGGTTCGATTCCCGGGCCGGGAGAAATATTTGTATGGCCTACATTTATTTCTCTCGTGAGTTTGGGTGTAATTTGTGGTTGTCTATGTGTGTGTCAATGGCACCCGCGACACAGGGTTTCCCTAGCGCGAGGCAATGTTGAGGGTGTGCGTTATTATCATTATTATTATAATATGTTGAAAAACAAAAAGTTATTTCAAATTTAAAAACACACTATGTCCCTTAAAATGTCGATCATTGGTACCATCACTACGAATACGTTTTAACAAAGCAATGTATGCACATTGTGAAGCCATATTTACGCAAAAACTCATTTAAGCTTCATTTGCAAAGCGCCTGGCTGCTAAATAGTCAAAACGCAATAGCAATGTCGCGCGTCACCGTAATCAACGTACAATTCTAAATAAAATTACATATTAACTTGTACTTTCAAAAAACTAACGAACCTCTTCGACGTTTCCTCGCTGCAGGCGCGGCATCGAGCGGCAGAGGGTCGTCGGAGTCGTAAAAAGAGGTAACTTGGTGCGGAGAAACCTTGCCGCGGTTCAGGTTCGGGTAGCGAGTGCCCGGGTCCAACGTGTACGCGCCGAAGTCTCGGTGTAAGTTCTCTGGCGTCGTTTGAGCTGAATACGATATAGACCTCGTTTAATTATACAACAGTAAAGCTTCTTCTATCATTGTTCTAAGTAAATTAATATTTAGATTTGTTAATGTATACACGAAGTCAACTATTGTCATTTTTGTGATAAATATTCTTTATATAAGGAAAAATACGTAATATTATATATAACGTAAAGGCCGACTACAAAAATTCTAAAACCTTTACCTTGAGAACTTAAGAGTCAATATTTTTGTCACCAAGTCATTGTCTCTGTATGTGGAATCAAAGGTTATAAGGTCGGAAAAAGGTGTTCTTGTACAGATACAGCTACAAGGAGTGATATAAAGTTGTTAAAACCCCCAAATATTAATAAATTCCTTTTTTCGAATTTCGGATTTCCGGAAATGCGTTTACTGCATCGCAGGATAAAACTTATTACCTAGAAACTCGAAGTTGGATTTTAAAGTAATTAAAAATGCAGTACATAATTGACCTTTAACGAAAGCAGATAATAAAACAGTAAGGAGAATTAGAGACCATTCTAATCCGGAATTCGAAAAAAGTAATTGATTAATATTTCGACTGTGAACTGGCAACCGGTACTATCTCAATTTTGATAACTTTACACGATGAACAAATAATTGTTTGCGTCATTTATATAGCATCTGGTTTATTGAATAAAAATACGGAGTGTATGTGTAATAAAAATATTTTAAAACTACGTATTTTATGTAATAAATCAGATGCTATATAAATGACGCAAACATTTTTTTTCTTCACCAATTGCCGGTTCACAGTCGATCTGGTACTTTTAACAACTCTATATCGCTCCTTGTAACTATAACTATACGTGTATCTACATAATAGTAGGTGGAACACCTTTTTCCGACCACTGGTTATAAGCAAAGTATCTCTGACCTAGGAGTCTGTAGATGGACTCTCGTTCAGCGATAACGTTAAGCGGGTGCGGTGCGGGGCTGCTGCCGAAGGACCGCACGGCCCATGCTGCGTCCAGTGCGGAGAGGAACCCCCGCGCGCACCCTGATCCGGTCGGCCAGAAGGGCTCCAGCAAACTGTCGCCCACTAACTCGCAGAGAAGACGTCTACCTAGACGCTCGTATACCTGACGAAAATCATTTATTAAATAACAACATTGATATAATAACCTTGGAAGAACGCTTAGTTTAACACTTGGTCTTTTGTAATTCAATACACCTTTGATTTCACTTGTGACGGGTATATTATAACCGATTTATATTATTAAAATTTACATTTTATTATGAGAATGAAAAAGACAAAATCTTCAAGGACCCTACATTGCCATAGCATTAACTGCTCGAACAGTGCTAGCGGTGGGAGTCGTGGATAATAGTTTTTTGAAAGAAATGTAATGATAGCCAACTAACCATACTAGCATTTTCAGCGGCGTACATCGATGTGAAGTCGAAGAGAGCGACGTCGGGCTCACCGTAGTGATTCAATGCAAAGTCCCGCAGCGGCAGCCGCGCGTCGGTCGAGAACCGCGCTGCTTCCTGGGCGTATCGCATTAACGCACCGCGATCCACATTCTCGACACTTAACAACCGTGACACTTCGGCGTAGTCCTGTTGAGATATCTTTAGTATTACAATATCTGTGGAAGTAGCATAGCAGTATATCACATGCAATGTGCGATGAACCTCCCCGTGACATATTTATTTCAGTTGATAAAGCTATGTTGCGATTTTTTTTTTATTGCGAATACTGAATCTGTAAGATACCGCACTAGTCATTCGTTCTTTATTTATTTGATAATGAGCTATTGTCATACATTTTGAAGAACAAGGATAACGATGTGAAATTGCATGTATACACGCGAAACAAACATTGCCGGGTTTTTGTAGCTTCAGCTTTTACATATTTTACATTAAATTAGTTATGATTTACGTATTTCTAAATACTCTCATAAAAATGTTCTCTTCATCTTTTTCAATAATTTATATTATACTAACAAATTGATGTTAGTTTTTATTATTTCTTTTTATCTCGTTTGCCGCGCTCAATTTTTACGTTTATAAAATACCATGCCGACCATGCTTGGCACTGCGATTACAATTGGTCGAGGCGCTCGCGATGCGACAAAAATGTGACATCACGGTGCCATGTTAGCTGTTATAATACAATTTTAAAATTGAGGTATTATCACTCAAATTTGACACTTAAATGTGGAAAAAATAGCTTTACCGCAGCGGCATGCTACGGGGGCTTAATAAGGCAAAATGGAGCTCAATTGTCTTGTTTAAATACACTAACTTATGAATTATCCTCTCTCTAGAAACCTGAAGTAATGACTTTTACCATGGCATAATACGACAAGTGTGTAACTCCACACAATCATAGAAGCGTGGCTTGTATGTGCACACAATCATAGAAGCGTGGCTTGTATGTGCACACGCCAGTACAACGTGGGTCATCGCACGCGTCATTCGTTTTAGAATTAAAGCAACGTTTGTTTTTCTTGCGTTAAAGAATTTATCGTTGTTTGCGTAAATTTTTGTGATTTTGAGCGTCATGTCACGTCGTCATTTAACGCGGAAAGAAATGTTTAGAGCTGACGGTACGCTGGAAACTGGACGCAATCAGCGTGATGTTGCAGCCGCTGTTAACTCGCAACCAAGCGTAATTTGCCAATTAAGAGCACGCTGCAGAGCTACAGGAGATATAGCCGAACGTCACCGAGGAAGATACAGGATCACTAACCAGAGACAAGATTGTTTTTGGAGATAGCTCCATATTGAAGCTCTACAACTAGTAGAAAGACTCCTTGTCCAATGGTCCTCCGATTCCTGCACCAACTTGTCGTTAGTGACTAAACTGCCAGAAGATTACATGAAGTCCATCTTCATGCACGGGGACAGCTAAGAGTTCCAGCTCTACGACGTGGAAATCGAGGACGTCGTTTATGGTGGGCTAACGCACATTTGCACTGGACAAACTCAGTGGGCGCGTGTGCCTTTTTCAGACAACTCTCGTGTCGGTTTTCATTCCCATTTAAGAAGAGTGCGAGTTTGGCGAGTTCCTGGCCGCAGGAATCGACTCCAGAATTTTCAGGAAATTCATTCATACCAAAACGGAACGATAATTATGTGGGCTAAAAATCGTTTGGGTGGAAAAACTAATCTCGTTTGGATAAAAGGCAATTTGAATGCGGAACGATACTGCGACGAAGTTGTACAACCCATGGTACTCCCCCACCGACAGCAGCTCTGCTCAGAGTACATGTTTATGCAAAATAATGCAAGACTGGTGATGAATGTGTTCCGCGAGTACGATGTCACGTAGTAGCCTGCTCAGTCGCCCGATCTCAATCCTATCGAGCATGCATGGTATTTGCTTAATGCTTGCTTTATGGCTATATTTGCTTTATTACGATTTCAAGTGTAATTTGCTTACCTATGAAATAATAGTAGATTGTAAAACGCGTCATCTCACCCGAGACAAGTATATCCACCCGACCCTCAGGCGAGGGATACTTAAGTCGAGGGTAAAATGGGTTTTATGAACGAGTTATAAACACTCTGCTTTTCACTTCGATTGCGAGGAAATTAAACAGCAATGTTACAAATGTACGATTATTTAATTAAAATTGAATGTAAAATTAGAACAATTACACATATTTCATGTGATGGTTGAGCATAAAATCCTTTTTTATGCAGCCTACACCCAGCATAAATACGAACTTTAAGAGCATGAGAAGTGAAAAGATTATTTGAGTTTCAGGAGATAAGCATTTAGGTAATCTTCCCCAAAATTCACACACGGAATAAGACCTTTTTTCACATCTGTCTAGTGTCTTATTAAACAGGCAACAATTGACAACCTCATACTTAGTGTGCCAGGCCGTTGTAGAGCCGTCGCTAATGCCTTGGAAGGTCCGACTGACTATTAAATAACAATTTAGACATGTTCATATTCGAAATTGGTACAAACGAAAATGCACAAAGGAAATAGTACATTATGTATTAAGGGCGGTAAACAACGGTAGATAAGTAAACAATTACTAACGAGAGCTAAGGAGCCCGAAGCCGTAGGCTGAGGTGATTCGAGGTTTGTAATTTTTACCGCCGTTGCTACATACAATGTTTTTCGTATTGCGTTACATTTGCGACGAAATTGATACAACGATAATTTATTTGTAGTATGAATAAATATCGCTACACAACACGACATTTACGGATTTTGCGATAATGTAATGAAAAAGTCATAATTCGGGCATAATGACGTGGACAATGTAACAGGCAGCATAATTTGTATTTCGAACTATCTAATACTGCATTTAGAATTGTCTCAAAATAATAGAGCTTTGTGGTAAAATGAACATGGCGGTTGTTCTAGACCAATTTTATAGCCGAATGCACGCAGTAATGTTTTATTTATGATTATTTTCCTCGTTTCTCTTTGAAAAGTACCTCTCGCTACTCTAACCCACGGCTGCGACACTTACAGCATAATTTAGGGTATTACGGTCGACTTTGCTTGCATGTCATGGTACTGTTTACAAACAAGTGTGATGAAAATATTATTATTCATTGACTGACCTGTAACAGGACACCTTTATAAAGTAAGCTGTGCTTCTTGGCTGTCATGACGAAATAATGCGTATCATCTTTGTAATACACGATGTTTTCGAGATCGATGCCCGTCACCTCATATAGCTCTTTGAAAAACTTCTGGTTGAATATGAACGCCACGCCGCTGATCTCAGGCACCTGTTGAGATTTACACACGTGAGAGTGAAAAAAACATACAATGGCCCCGCCAGGCCAGAGCTGCTGGAGCACTAAGTCCACTATAGTCCATTTTTTGGATCATCCTCACACAGCGTCTCTCATTATCAGCTCACAAGATACCCCATTGAAACTTCAATGAGGATGACAACTCTATTTATTTATTTATACATTTTAGGAAAATTCACGGACAAATAATACAATTATAGTATACTTAAATATGAGTAATCCAATGCCATTTACGAATTTCCACCAACATGAAACAATATAAAGTCTAGTAAATCTATAAGAACGCAGTCAATAAATTAAAAAAATAAAATATATAAATAATAATAATAAAAATTACTATTAATATACAATTAAACCTTAGAGGTTGGTAAAAAAAAGTCTAAGAATTAAACGAACAAACCAGTGTATTCATCGCCAATCACGTGATGTGGCAAAGTGACGTTTGGTCATTTCTCGCCTGACTGTGTCTATGCTTGAACAAAACAAATCAAACCCCGAATGATTTACTGTCGCATTGTTAGAAAGTCTCAAAGCACGCACCATGTACGTATTTTGCCTATAATTAGTGCTCGCAAACGGCACTTGCAGAGGTGGTCGACATATTCTGTAATGCAACAAGTTTGTGCGCAGGTTTATGTGTGACAACAATTCTGGACAATCAAAATTACCGTTGGCGATCCTCATCAGAAAACTGACGTCACTCCTGTCTCGACGTATACGAAGCGACAAATAATGGTACACCTATTGTACCTAGTACACCTATGCTCATAATCTGATGAAAATTGTTTAGTTTTGTAGTCCAGATAACGTAAAAATCTCTGATAAATTGCCTCCAACCGAGCCTTATAGGTTTCATAGCATGGATTCCAGACCTGTGAAGCGTACTCAAGGTGACTCCGTACAAAAGAGCAATAAAGAAACTTAATGCATTTGATACTATGTATAATTCTTCCTAAGGGATTCCACAAACCGAAGACGACCACGCGTTCAAATTCAAATAGGGCAAGTTAAACAAAAAACGCAACACCATTTCTAAATAACTTTGCAAACGCATTATGCTTCTTCTTACATATTACAAATCTAAAGCCTTGGCTACGAATTGTAACGAACTTAAAAGCATCAGTGGTCCGTTCATGGTAACCACAAGTTTTAATTCTTTGAGCTGAAGAAAAAAATTAAGAGACGTAGCTACTAACCGATGCCTCCTGCTCGGTGTGTCGATTGATGAAGTTGGCGGTGATGGCCATCGCGAGCTTGCCACGAAACTCGTTTCGCTTGAACCCCTGTAGCGTGTTGCGCTTGCCATCCGCACCCAGCAGGACGTCGAACTCATACTGCGACACTGGATGCTCGGAAGGCAGTACGCGCGCGCGCCAACCTAGCGCTGACACCATAGACAGTACATTTAATGAAATATTTTGTATGCGCGTAAAAATATACATAATTTCATTACGAAAGAAGATATTAACCTTAGAACCAAGCCCAAACTCATGGTACCACGATTTCGTTTAACTAAGGTAAACGATTCTTTTATGGGGAACTGTATACATATTAACAATAAGATTCCGGAGTATATATTAAGATTATCATTACCTAAGTTTAAAACTTACATAAAAAGAATTTTAATTGAAAAGTCATGTTACAAAATTGACCAGTAATTGTTAGATAAAGTGTATGGTAAAACAAAATCAGTCTTGATTCCCCACAATTACGATTCAAAGTGTATTCCATAGCATATAAGTTTATTTGAAAAGAGCAATCCCTAGAGTTTGTTGCTCGTTCTTCTCAGGGAGGTTAGCGTAGTAAACGAGCAGTAACTTAAAAAATGACGTTTTCAAGTGTAATAATTTTACCTTTGGAATAAATGATTATTTGACTTTGACAAATCAGGCGTTGCCTTATTATTTTTTTTAATATTAAACTTTGATAGAATATGATAGAATATAGTAATTTATATCAATACATACTTTCACCATTTTCTGCGATAGTTGGCTCTAATAATTCTTCGAAACTAACGCCTTCGTGGAACTCAACGCCGAGCAGTAGCGCCACCTAGAAACAGAATGTACGGAATCAACCGTTATACCGTGATGTTAGGGCACAGTAATTAATTATTTAAGTAAATTAAGGCGTCATTTGTAAGTTGATACCTAACAGCCCTTCATCTTGTATGAGAAGCTTCGAAAGGATCTTCCAAACAATAGCAAGTTTTCTCACAATGTTGTACCTTATCGTTAAAGCAACGTATAAGGTGATTTTACTCCACAGACAGTATTATATACTTGTGTTTTACTCCACAGTAGTATATCTCACCTTGAGCAGTATGCATTGCAACTGCCTGATGCTGATATGATCAATGGCGCCGGCGCAAAACTTGCCGAAGAACTTCTTGGCGCCGAGCGCGCGCAGATCCTGGATCACGAACGGCCACAGGTGCAGTACGTTGTTTCGCGACATACGGTCGCGCTTCTCTATTACCACCTGAAAAAAATTATTTTATTTTACTAACAAGTCTTCTATATATTTTACTAATTTTCGGGAAACATAAACACTCACAACTCGGGAATTCTCTCTCGAATTATTAGCCCGTAAAATTAACGTGTTACCTCATCAAAGTAGAGGTAGTTTGTGCGAGGGATATCTGGTTAGACTACAACGCTTTCTCGAGTACCAGACTCCAGGGGGGATCCACTTAATTTAATGTTGTAACCAAGCGGGTTGCTAGACACCTATTTTGGCTCCCCTCAAAAACTCACAGAGACAAAGTCTGGTAAAATTACTGAGTACTGCTGGAAAATGCACGACTGTTTAGAATATCTTACCACTTTGGCACCTAGCAACTGGCACTCAATAGCAGCTCGCAATCCGCAGGGTCCGGCTCCAATGATAAGAACTTTGCTCCCTGTGCTCGCGCGCCCTTTGCTGTACACCTTGTGATTCGCGCGCGCGTCAAATTTTTTGAACAGTGCTTGAGCCTTCCATGAACTTGCCAGCTTCGTCTATTGATAGAAACAAAATAATATCACATTATGCATGCGTGCACCACAAGTACCAAAGTAAAAAGTGAGTACCAAAGTAAATAAACAAAACTTCGTGAGACCTAACAAAACGCCCAAATCAAAACCAACAGTTTAGAATTTTGATAATATCAACAATAACTATCAAACGCACTCGCAATAGTAAATACAAAAACATCGTCGTAAACAAACGAACTTGTAAACACCGCTCAACGCTCAGCTTAACGCTATCGCCAGAGGTCAAATAACACTTGCATTATAACTTTTACAGAAAACTCGCCAAGCTAAAGACGTGCAAATTATTATATGTGTGTAATTAATTAAGGCGGGATTGCAAAGGTAGACAACGCAAGACTTGCAAAGGGTTTCTTCGTAATCACAAAGATAATAGGAAATGTTACAACAAATTTTTATGTCAAATAAATTACATTAATATTACAGACGCTGGGAAGACAGGGATTGCCTGGCGAGAATGAGTTGTACTGTACGAGTCAGATAATCCCCGTTCCTGCCGACGTATATTTAGAGCTTTTCTCAAACAATGCGAAGAAATAATAATAGACTGAATAATGAAGGAGAACATGTGTAACAAAAATGGTAAAAAAAAACTAATTAATTAGTGTTAAAAGTAATATTCCATAGGTTAGGGCAATTGTTGAAAAAAAGATTTTCCCAGACACATGTAATAGTAGTAATAGACAAAAAAAAGTAAACTACAAAAGCACCAAACAAGCATGCACCATCAGCTATGTACTTTCATTTTTTTTTAAATGTATGTGGTGCAAGTGTATTCAAAGCATCATAATTAAACGAAAAAGTAATACCATTTTTTATTTGATACTCGTAATTTCTTTTTTTCTTGCCTTTTTGAGTTAGCGTTTAGCGTTTCAGACACTGACAAGGTTCTTTTTTGACTTGTCTTTAAAACGGAGAAAGTTATAGGTAGCATAAAAATGAAATTCGGAAAAGGGAAAAGAAAAATGATATGACTGTATCGTTTAATAAGGATGCTATGAATACACTTG